CCAGTTAACTCAATTCCATTGACTCAACTAGTTCTTATGCAGAAAGAATCACATGGAAACAAAACACTGAGCTAGAATGGCTCCATAACTTCTAAACTAGAGACGTTGTAGTTGGGGAATTTCTCAGAAAAAAATTGGAAGCATTCCCTGAGAAATTTCACATTGTGGCTATTTAAACGATGGGGTAAATTATTTTTTAAGAAAGATATCTCCATCTTTTTTTAACTGTATCTTTTTATATGTTTCCTTGTATTTCTTCTAATAAATAGCTATTTAAATGTTATAATTTTCTAGCAACGTAACGATTGTTTAGCATAAATATAATTTTCAGAAATAATAAATAATATAACAATTTGTCAACTGCCTGCAAGTATATTTTAGGCAGAAGGATATATTTGTCCAGAAGAGAGTAGAGAAGCAGTTTTCAAAATGTCTGTTTTATCAGCTGTTAGGGGTCAATCAAGCTTGACATTCAGTACGTATGTCCTGAACATATCGTTTCGAAGTTCTTTGGACAGTTCTCATACGATGTTAGTAGCAATATTGAGGTCTTGAGCCATGGTGGCTCACGGAATAGAGTGTTTGGCCTTCCAATGAGGTGAAGCAGCTTCGAATCCCAGCAATGGTTGGTCGATATGAATCGACCACGGTGCTGATGTAATAACTTCTTTAGTGGTAGATGGATCCTGGATTAGAGTCTCCTTGCCAACAGGCTAACAATGGGAGGTTTTCTTAGTTTTTCTATCCATGTAGCTGTTAGTTCCATCAAAAAATCCTCCATGAATACAAATTTCTCCCAATACCTGATCCACGAGTTCCCTTGTCTTCTGGATTGGAACAAAAATTACAAGGCTATGGAGCTGAACATTTTTAGTCGTAAACTGAAGAAACACTGACTTAAATTCTGTTTTAATAGTTGAAGTTATTTTTAACACATAGCATTGAATGTTGGAATCTTAATGAAACTACTTTATGAAAATTCAACCTTATGAATATAATTTTGACATAGTTGCTGTCACCTTTTTTTAGATCTCTGCAATGCAAATACTGTGTATAGATGCAATTTTTGTCCATACTCAAATATTCGCAAGTCAAAAATGAATAGGCACATGAAAGTTCACACTGGGGAAGGACCATTTAAGTGTGCCACTTGTGATAAGTGTTTTGCCAACTTATTCAATTTGAAAAGACAATTTATTACTCACAATAAATCTCTTTTGTAATATGTGTAAACAAGAAGTACTTTTTAATATCTATTGTGATAAATATCGTTAGTTTAAATTGTTTTACTCCAGAAAAATGTTAGTATAAGATAAATGTATTCACTGGCAAAAAAAACTATTTCAGTGTGCCACTTATATGAAATATGTTATAAGACAAAAAACGTGATTTTAAGAAACACATACTCCAACTCTGTTTTAATAGTGAAAGTTATTTATTAACACTAGTATCGAATGTTTTAAATTTGGATCGCATTTATTTGATTCTGTACGAACTTTATCGAAGAAAAATAACTTACACAAATATTTTATGCCTATGTAGTTTACACAAATATTTTCTATGTTGTATGTTTGTTTTTTCATTACTCAGTACAAAATTAATATTCTTGCTAATATTTGGTATTCTAAGTTCAATTAATTTACTGTTCATGGATGATTAAAGTGCAGTTATGTAGTATAGGATTTATTTAAACCAGTTCTAGAAATGTGTCATCTTTTTTTTTTTGCATAACTTTCTTTCATTATTGGGATGTTATAAGTTGCATGGGCAAATGCACTGCTTACCCAAAGATGTTTCTGCAGGCTTATTCAAAAAGCTAATAGATTGCCTAGTATTAACCCTCTCGGGGTGTAATTTTTTTTTTTTTTTATGAATCTGGGTTCATTGCATATTTTTTATTACATATTTAAAATCTACATATATTTTGGTATTAAAATATTCAAAAAAATTTTGATGTAAAAGTTTTATTTATTTTTTTAAATGTAGAATTGATCTTTAAAAAAAGTAGTCCGAAAAATTAAATTGAAAAATAAGCATACAAGAGCAAAATTTTGAAAATTTATCTTGGTTAAATAATGATTTATTTTATGAAAAACAAATGTAAAATATATAAATGAAGTGTATAACGAAAATATGAAAAAATACTTACAAAACTTGCTATCAGTCTAAGAGTGCAGGTCATATCACGCGCAAAATGCTTTCTGTTAGACATCTTTGAGCTTTGGAAAGAGTGTATAAAATGCTGCAAAATATTCATGTATATTTCACTGAAATATGGACAACCAATGCCGTCTTTTAACCTAAATCTGAGTAAACAATTTAGCATCATATAAAAGCCAAAATAAAACCATGAACAGGAAAAGAGCCTGTTACACACTTAAATAGACGAAAAAAATGCATCTCTGCAGAGATTACAAATTGAGCAAATTAATTTTTTTGTGGGCTGTGGAAATAATTGGATGTGCAGCGAGAAGTGACCTTCAACTTTGAAAATTATATCACTTAATACCATGAGTTACACCTTAAATTTCCAGTGTTAAATGTCACTGAACACAAACTTGTAAGGAAAACATGTTAAATATTATTTTGTGTATATCAATTTTTCTGTGTTACAAAATATCTTTGATATGTGCATACAAAGTTATCTTATTCTACTATATCTCATTTCTATAAAGTAATTTTCTATGAAAAATAGATTTGTAAACTGCTTTTGGATATATGTATGCATTCAAAGCTTGCATACATATATCCAAATGCATTCAAAGCCACCAAGCTTGTCATTTTGTTAAATTTAATATATTGTTCTTGAATTAAAAATATAACCGATTTTATGTAGTAAATATTTTATGTACTTTTAGTGTTTGTATCTCTACATCTGCAGTATTACTGATAAACTTCTTCTAGTTATGTCATTCACATACATTTATTCTGAAATTATTTACTTATATTAATTAAGTATATTTACATAGATTCACGAATATTACTAAATTTTCAAATTTTATCATTTGTTTCTCAAACTTTTATCAGCTTTTTATAATTTTATTAAGAATATATTCTTAAAAAACATTTCATCATTTTTTGGATTTCTTAATATCGATAGGCTATTCTACTTTTTTTTATGTCCTGTATGTAATACTGAGCTAATATTATTAAAGGAATATGAGAAGAGAAAGGTGCAGAAATGTGTTCTAAAAGTTCAGCTATTTTTGCACAATATTTTTCAAACAATGTCATTAATAAAAAAAAATTTATTTGACATTTTTAATAGTATCTGCAAGTTTGTTTTCTCGATTCTTTGTTGTATTAAAATGCCTAAACATCTGTTTTCTTTTAAAAGATAAACCCTCTGAGTAAATGGCAATTTTTTCAAAACTTTAAACAGCAGATTTTTCTGCATTAAAACACTATTTTCTTCACGTTATTCCTCAGAAAGTAGTGTGTGGCAAGAAACTCCTGGCTTGGAGATTTATATATTTGAATATCATATGCAACTTGTATTACTGAAAGATTTTAATCTTGTTACTCTCTTTTTTTCAGACCTGCTCAAGAGAAGTAAAACATATCAATGCAGTTTTTGTCAGTACTCGCATTTTGACAAATCAAAAATGACTAGGCATGTGAAAGTTCACACTGGAGAAAGACCATTTCAGTGCACTACTTGTGATAAGTGTTTTGCCAACTTATTCAATTTGAAAAGACATTCTATTACTCATAATAAATCTCTTTTGTGATCTGTATAAACAAGAAGTATTTTTTTAATGTATATTGTGATAAATATCTTTAGTTTAAATTGTTTTACTCTGGAAAAATGTTAGTATAAGGTAAATGTATTCACTGGCAAAAAAAAAAACTGTTTCAGTGTGCCACTTGTAGGAAATGTGTTATGCCATGAAAAAACATGGATGATTAAATTGCTGTTATGTACTATAGGATTTATTTAAACTAGCTCTAGAAATGTGTTATGTTTTTTTTTTTACATCACTTTATTTCATTATTGGGATGTTATAAGTTGCATACGCAAATGCACTGCTTACCCAAAGATGTTTCTGTAGGCTTATTCAAAAAACTAATAGATTGCTTAGTATTAACCCTCTCGGGGTGCAATTTTTTCTTCTTCTGAAAATGGGTTCATTGCGTATTTTTTATTACATATTTCAAATCTACATATATTTCGATAATAAAATATACAAAAAAAATTTGGTGTAAAAGTTTTATTTATTTTTTTAAATGTAGAATTGATCTTTAAAAAAAAGTTGTCTGAAAATTGAAATTGAAAAATAAGCATAAAAGAGCAAAATTTTGAAAATTTAGCTTGGTTAAATTATGATTTATTTTGTGGGCTGTGGAAATAATGGGATGCGCAGTGAGAAGTGACTTTCAACTTTGGAAATTATATCTCGTAATACCATAAGTTACACATTAAATTTCCAGTGTTAAATGTCACTGAGCACAAACTTGTAAGGAAAACATATTAAATATAATTTTGTTAATTTTTCTGTGTTAAAGAATATCTTTGATTTTTGCATCCAAAATTATTTTATTCTACTATATCTCATTTCTATAAAGTAATTTTCAATGAAAAATAAATTTGTAAACTGCTTCCGGGTATATATATATACATTCAAAGTCAATTTCTATTAACTCATTATATGTTTTCCACTAAGCTTGTCATTGTATTCAATTTAATATATTGTTCTTGAATTAAAAATCTCACAGATTTTATGTTGAAATTATTTTATGTAGTTTTAGTGTTTTATGTCAAACTCTGCAGTATTACTGATACTCTTCTTCTAGTTGTGTCATTCACATACATTTATTCTGAAATTATTTATTTACATTAATTAAGTATATTTACATAAATTCGCAATTATTACTAAATCTTCAAATAGTAATATTTGTTTCTCTATTCATTCTTAAAATCTGAAACTTTTATTAGCTTTTTATAATTTTATTAAAAATATATTCTTAAAAAACATTTCATCATTTTTCGGATTTCTTAATATAGATAGCCCATTCCACTTTTTTTGTGTCCTGTATATAATACTAAGCTAATATTATAAAAAGAATAGGAGATGAAAAAATATGACGAAATGTGTTCTAAAAATTTAGCTATTTTTGCACAATGTTTTTCAAACAATGTCATTTTTTTTAATTTTTTTATCTGATATTGTTAATAGTATCTGCAAGTTTGTTTTCTCAATTCCTTATTGCATTAAAATGTCTAAACATCTGTTTTCTTTTAAAAGATAAACCCTCTGAGTAAATGACAATTTTTTCGAAACTTTAAGCAACAGATTTTTCTGCGTTAAAACAATATTTTCCTCATGTTATTCATCAGAGGTAGTGTGTGGCACGAAACTCCAGGCTTGGAGATTTATATATTTGAATATCTTATGCAACTTGTATTACTGAAAGATTTTAATCTTATTACTCTCTTTTTTTCAGACCTGCTCAAGAGAAGTAAAACATATCAATGCAGTTTTTGTCAGTACTCACATTTTGACAAATCAAAAATGACTAGACATGTGAAAGTTCATACTGGGGAAAAACCATTTCAATGTGCCATGTGTCCGAAGTATTTTGCGCAAAAGTGTGTCATGAAAAGACATATGATCACTCACTTTAAAAAGCTCTGACATTAGATCATAAATTTCTATGTTCTTTATCGATAACTATAGAATTTAATAATGGAATGCCTGCAAATGACGTAGTGTATGTATCTTGATATTGATTGGTTGTTGAAACGTGGCATTTGTTTATGTTAACTACTGCTTCATTTTTCTTCGTTTTATTTCGAGTTAGCCAAGCCCATCAAGTATGAATTCTCTTAAGTGATACATTCTATATTCTTTCACAAATATTTCAGTATATATTTCTTACTTAGCAAAAGATAGGCATGAAACCATATGGAACATAAGCAAACTAATTATGCATCAAAATTGCCAGGTACACAAAACAAAAATATATCTAAGTTACAATAAAATACATAAACAAATAATAAATCTAAGTTAAGTAAAAGTCATAGACGTGAAAGAATTGTATTTCAACAAATTCAAAGTGCGATACGACACTATTTAATTAACTTCTCATTGATTAACATTCTAACTTATGTGGAGAATCTTAGTTCAGCTTAAGCATGCCATTTCGCTTAAAAGCAATCAGCTGGTCACATGTATCATAAACTACATACTCTACACATGTGTCATAGGTCACATGTGTTGTGTATCTGTAATCTTCTTCTTAAAGTGCAAGTACCCAATTATGAATGATTCTTAAATCAAATCTTTATTGTGTCATATATAGATAAATATATGACACATGTGTAGAGTATGTAGTTTTCGCTCAAAAATCTTAAGCATTTATTGTTACTGGCATTAATAAATTTCTTAACTTTATCTAGTGTAATGAAAAATTAATTTTTGAGGTGACATACTATAAACTTTTTAAAATTGAATTTTTTTTTTTTTACATTGTTACACAAAATTGTTTGTTAAACAAATATGTTTTGCAAAATTAATCTTTGGATAAAGTCTTAAACAATATTACAAATGAAATTTACACAGATTTTTGTATTCATTCATTTTTTTTAATTTTATTTATTTTATTATTATTATTTTATATTATATTATTATTATTATTTTATTTTATCATTGTGTTTAAGACGAGGATAGCTTCCTTATGTTTCTGTATATTTTAATTCTTAATTTCTTAAATTAAAATCTATGCAGATTTTTCTGTTTGAATTTTTGTTTGAATAGATTTAGTGAGCATCCTGCCTTATTCATTGTTGCTGACACTTTTTATATATTTATTTCTATCATTTATATTTTTCTGAAATCTTACTTGCGTTGGTTATTTATATCAACTTGTTTTCATGTATAGTGCGCATAATAAAAGACGGACCACCCTAAATATTTTTTAGTCTAATGATCAGATCTTCGCATTCTATAACTCAATCTTAAAGGCTCATAAGGGTGACTTCAAATATGCTAATTAATTAGTGCAGATGTTATTTTAAGTTTCAAAATGGAAAAAAAACGTCTTTCTCTGAATAAACATACCTTTTTTATGACAGGTTTAGATTTCAGACCAGAAAATACAGTAAATATTTAATATTATTATTATTAAAATATAGTAAATATTTTTTATTTTGTTTAATAACAGCTGGTAAAATTTCGAGTTGTAAGGCGGTACAGGTTTCTACATCATTTTAAAGAATGCAATTTTACATGGCAAAATACAAAATTTGAGAGGAATTGGTTAAATAGTTCTTAAGAAATTGAATTTTGAAAAAGTTGTATTTTTGAAATTTTATTTCTCAGAAACTATTTGACTGATTTCTCTCAAATCTATTATGCCATGTAAAATTGCATCTTGATCATTTAAGCACATAAATATATGTTTCTTTCCAAAATAATTAATGCATTATGGACAGCATTTTAGAATTTATACAATTAAAAAATTTATGACCTAGTTGTTCCTTTTGTTCAGATTTGCATAAAAGAAGTTGTACTTAATACTAAATAGTATTTAGAAATACAATGCATTCTTATTAATTTTATGTATTTAACCACACAAATGTCTGTTTCTTTCAAAAAGAGTAAATACATTACATACAACGTTATAGAACTTATACAATTAAAAAGGTTTTGACCTAGTTGCTTTCTTTCTTTTTAGATTTTCAGAAGAGAAGAAAAATATATCAATGCAGTTCTTGTCCATATTCAAATTGTAACAAAGCAAAAATGGCTAGACACTTGAAAGTTCACACTGGCGAAAAACCATTTCAGTGTGCCCAGTGTTTGAAGTGCTTTGCTCAAAAATGTCATTTAAAATCGCACATGTTGATTCATTTTAAGGAACCTTTGTATCAATCTGGCTAAACTAACAGTGCTATTTGTAAATATTTATTTATGGGATTTGTCATTGTATAATCACAGTACCACCTCGATCATCCAAGTCTTATTCAGAATTATTTGATATATTTAGGAAGAATCATTATACATTAAAGAATTGTTCAAAGCTGAACTGAATTGTTAAAAAGGTTGGTAGTAACTTTCATGGTGCATAGCGTTTTTAAAAAGTGCTTAAAGGTGCTTATTTTCGATTTTCTTTTTTAAAAGCCCTTAAAAGTGCTTTTTTCATTGGGTGTTTTTAAAAAGTGCTTAATTTTTCGAAAATGAGGTTTTTTGGCGAAAATCGACATGTATTATGTAAAAGCGTTCTTTCCACATTGTTCTATTGAACGTTTTCACAATTCATTCAACTGCAATCTGTTTCGGTGTACCGTCGGTCCAGTATGAAAGTGCCAATCCTTTTACATCTTTGATGAAATACTTGCGAGTCCGCATGTGCGTCAACTGAACTGTTATTTTATTATGATCATATTAAGTCTTTGAAAATTATTTTGCTTTTTGTTAATGTATATAGTGCTTAAAAATATTTTTTGAGTGTTAAAAAGGTGCTTATTTTTTGTTGAAAGATTTGGCTATGCACCCTGACTTTGCTTGCGTTTTAAAAGTTAAGTAATTTGGAGCGCATGCCACTGGCTCTGTATTACAGATTTTGCCCATTTCCTTGCATAATCCCTCTTTTTATTTTTACTTGTGTTGTATAATTTCATTATTATGACTTCCTCTTCGCAAAAAGAAAGCCTGTTATATTGTTATTAAAAAAAGCAGGGTTTTTATGATGAAAATTGTTTTTAAAAAATTTTACTTCTAAAATCAGAATATTTCGCTTATCTGATTGAAGTCTGGTCCCTTCGGTTTATCGAGGTTCTACTGTATTGAGATGTTTTTTGTATAAGATATCCATTTTTAATTTTGTAAAGTAAAAAATAAAACTTTAATTTTACTGAAATGTTTCTTATTTTGTTTATTTTTTGTATTGTTTTATTCAAAATTGACATACAATGCAAGCATTTTATTAGCTTAAATGCAAAGATTCTTATTAAAAAAAAGTTTGAATCCTTGTAAAATTTATTTCTTGACTTTCATGAATATCTCGAAGAAAGGTGAGAGTTCAATCATTTATAAAACAGTTGGTCTAATGGTGAAAAATATTTTCTCAACTTGACCCTACTTCCGTAGTTCATTTCCGGCCTTTGCAATAGTCATGTCAATAGCCTTTCCAATAGTCCAATAAGATATTAGTACTTTGTTATATATTGTAAAAGTAATATATGAAGAAGATATTTAAAGTCTTGTTATTTTTTCAACATTATTTTTTATTACTGTATACATCTTATTGTACTAATACTATTATGATATTCATGAATTATTACTGTTTTTATTTATTAAATGGTATTAAGAGATTTATTGCATTTTTCATAATTTAAAGCAATGAATTTCCATTTTCATCAGAAGTGTTAAATATTTATTTAAATTTCAAAATCATACAGTTTATCATAAGATTTTCACAAAGATACTCTTTCTCTTGCATAGGCACTCTTTCTCTGCACCAAGGAAGTAAAATATATCGATGCAATTTTTGCCACTATGTGCATTTTAACAAGTCCAAAATGGCCAGACACATGAAATTTCACACTGGCGAAAAACCCTTTCAGTGTTACACATGCGGGAAGTGTTTTACTCAGAAGTGTGATTTGAAGAGGCACATGGTTACTCATGTTAACAAGCACTGGTTGTAGACCCATCTAATGTTAATATTGTTACAATAATGTAAATGTTATTTTTGGATGATCTTTTTGTAGTAATTTTGTTTGTTTTTCTGACATTTATAAAATTTTATCTTCTTTTTTTCTATATAAATGGCTCTTAGAAAAATAAATTATGATGTTTGTTAAAGTTTTTTCTATCTTTTTTTTTAAATCTTTTGCGGTACTAAGTTTTGCTGTACTTCACAAAAACTTCTTAGTAAAAGTAAAATACAAATACTCTTATTTATTTAGACATGAAAATCAAACAATTGTAAGATTTTGACAAAGTTAATCTTTTTTTTCTTTCAGATCTATTCAAAGGAAGTAAAATATATCAGTGCAGTTTTTGCAACTACTCGCACCTTAGCAAGTCGAGAGTAACCACGCACATGAAATTTCACACTGGGGAAAAACCATTTCAATGTGCCACTTGTCAGAAGCGTTTTACTCAAAAGTGTGATCTAAAAAGACACATGATCATTCATTTTAGAAAACATTGATTAAAATTGCGTGTCTAAATTTATACATAACCTGTCCAGTTTCAGTGTCATTTGTAGATGTTAGTTTCGAGTGATGTCTTTTGTGAAAATTTAAATGTTTTTTTGGAAATTATATAATTCTATCCTTTTCCTATGTTATACATATTTAAAGAAAATAAATTACAATATGTACTCAAATTTTTCTATTTTGTTTATCTTTTGTAATATTTATTATAAATCTATATACTTAAGAAAACTCTCATTGTGAAGTGGAATTGCACATCCTTGAAAAACAAAATGCAGCACTGCCCTGATTTGACAACACTCGCCTAATAACAAATTTCACTTTATTGTTGTAGTCATTTTACCATTAGTCATTACTAAGAAATCATTAACTTTTTAAAAATTATCTTGCAATATTAAGGTGCAAAAATATTTTTTATCCTTTTTTTTAATGTCTTGCATGAATTTTTTTTTAATTTTAAAGCCTCTTTGCATAACAGTATTGTATATAGGTTTACTTTTTTTTATTAATCAGTGCTAGTTTTTAAAATATTTTCTGATATTTTTTCAACAATATCTTTAATTTTATGATGAACTACTGACGTATTGCCAAATTTTTTTGTTGTGTTTGTATAAATTTTTTTTGTACTACTATATTCCATACAGTATTCGTTTAGCCCCAAAAAAAAAGTTATGTTTCCTGTTTGTGATTGTACTTATTTGTACTAATGAAATGAATGTAAAATGAAAATGAAATGGTGGTTCTGTGAACATTACTTTTAAAAAGAAATTTTAGGATCCTTGTAGAAAATTATACATATTAAGATTACTGATTAATATTTACGTTAAGAAAAGTGAATTCAAAATCTTAAGAGTTTTATGAAATTGAAATCGTCATAACTGGGTTGGTTGCTGAGTGATACTTGTTGTTTCTAATAAATGCTTTTGACCTTTTCTCAGTTTCTTGTGACAATCAAACAGGTTTCGTTATTTCTTCGCTCACTTTCTCCCTCAATAGCTGCTTGCAGTACAGGTTTTCTTATTTTCTGGTTAAATATTAATTTGTAATCCCTAATGTTTGTACTTTTTTAACATATATTTTAAAAAGATGTTGATTTTAAAATACCATTTACATCCAAGCTCTTTCTGAAACTTGATATTCAGAACAAATTTTAATTCAAATTTGTCTGGAACCAACTGTGCAAGTTAGCTTTAAAAAAAGATTTGAATGTTTTTTTTAAAAAAAAAACTCTTTAGTTATTAGGTATTTATATGATTTCTGTTTCTTTCAGATATGTTTAAAAGTACTCAACGATTTCAATGTAGTTTTTGCACTTACACAAGCCTTTACAAGTCTAAAATGGCCAGTCATTTTAAAGTTCACACTGGTGAAAAACCGTTTCAGTGCCAAGCTTGTCAAAAGTGTTTTTCTCAAAAGTCTGCTTTAAAAAGGCACATGATTATTCACATAAGAAACACTAGTTGTTAACACCTGTCTGAATGGTCACTGTTATGTATAAGCAAGTACTTCTAGATGTATACTTTCTAATAGAAGAATATATTGTTAATACATTGTAATTCATCTATTGTAATTCCTTGATGAACATAAAATTGTGTTTGATAAAGATACTTTTGCAAATTGTTTTTATTTTAAAAGGTCTGTTTTTAAAGGCATTACTTATATATAGAGTGTTTCAAATAAAAATAATTCAACAGTTACTAATGATAGGAATTTAGCAGGGGTCTGTCAAGGTTTTTCTAAGAGATACCTATTTTGTGAAAATTTAGACATAATTTGTGAAAATTTAGACATAATTTGTGGAAATTAAAAATTATATTAAAAAAATATGGATTTATCGTTTCTTACGGGATACAAAAATAAAATTTTAAGAAAAAGTAGTTTGTGAAATTACCATTTTTCCAAAAGTTGAATTTGCGACCACTAGAAGGTAGTAAATTTGGCCTGGACAGACCCCTGTTTAGAAAAGTGTTCATTAATGAATTATGTACTGAAAAGTAACTAATTTGTTCTTCTTGCTACAACTTTTTCTATCATATGATAATTATTTGATGAAAAAAAGTTTTTTTTATTTTTTTGCTCTTTTTTTATTCTATTTATTGCAATTCATTTTGTCAAAAATTGCTTTCAGAAACTAATTATTAATAGCTATTAATAATTAGCCTTTCTATTGTAAAAGCTACATTGAAACTGTTTAAAATAAAATGAATAAATTTCTGTTTTTAAACTCTGTCTTTCTTTTCTGTTAAATTTTATTTATGTATGTGATTATTGAGAAAAATATTTTGTACTTTATATATTTTGAATATTATATTTATACAATGTTATGTAAGAAATAATTAAGTATCAAAAATCGTAAAATATTAAATATCCTTTTGAAGAATAAGTAATCTCTAAATATATATTTTATTTCAATTCAATAATATTTTAAAAGCTTTTTCTCTGAAATGGTACGACATAAAATATAATTAATTCATTATTTTTTGTTTGAAGGTAAGATGAAATGATATTAATGATTAATAAATAATCCATTAGCGTGTGCTTAGGATTTTGCCTAGTAATATACATTTATTATCAAAGTTAAATCATACTTTTATAATTTTTGGACATCCTAAGATGTAACAACAAAATGGAAGGGAGATATTGTCCTGATCTCAAATAAAAATGACTACAAAGTAATTTCTTGTTATTATTGAATATCCATAACACGACTACGAATTCCACATGATGAAAAAATGTGCAAATTATTTATCTACTTGCTTGTGAGTCCCAAATTTGCCAAAATTCTGACTGCTTCAGGTATTTAAATTTTTTATGAAAATTTCAATTTCTTTTTATTCATTTTTATTGAAGAAAATAATTTTTGTCTTACTACTGTTCTACTTCTCTTGGCATATTTGCTAGGAATTTTGTACTAAAAAAAAAAAATTATGATATATGAGAAATTATTTATTTTTTCCCCCTATTACTTACATTACTTAGTATATTATTTTTTGCAAAGCAGTTAAGATCACATAAATAAACAATTTCTTTTTTTATTTCTAGTTTTTTTTAATAGTGCAGAAATTTTTAAGCTTTATGCTTTTCTTTGTATGTGTGTTACATGCCTCATAAAAAAAAATTTTTATTTTTCAGAACAACCAAAGACATTTGAAATACATCGATGTACTGTTTGCAACTACTCTACTATGTTGAAGGGAGCTTTAACCAGGCATATCAGGATTCACACTGGCGAAAAACCCTATCAATGCAGCTTTTGTAAAAAATGTTTCAACCAGAAGTGTAATTTAAACAAACATATGATTACTCATTTTAATTCATCATATACCAACGTTTAAGAAACACAGCATACCATTTAAAAAGCAACTATTATTGTTAATAACAGCTTTAGATTACTAAATAAAATGAGAAAAAAAAAAGAATTTTGACGAAACTATTTCTTTCATACAAATGTGTGTTGATATTACAGTGGCATGGTTAGGATTTACAACCCCTGGGCGCAAATTTAGTTTTTACACCACTTTGCAATAGGATATCAGGCTTACAGTACCCATTTGGTGCTAATTTTAGTTTTAGATTACATAAAGCGTGAAATCCACCTAACTTGGCATTGGGCTTTTAATTTTTACATTGAATAAGATTTTCCGCCTTTTAAAGAAGATCTTTTAAAACTATATAACTTGATATCATTGTTAATTTTCATTTTATTCTCTTTAAAAGCTATGTTTTTAATGCAGATTCTATAAGATTTAGATGGTTCTAATTGTATTTATTGTTTTTGATCAATGGAATGATCAGCGTTTGTTTTAAGTTCTTTTGTCATTTAATGTGATGCAAATTTGTTTTAAATGAGTAGTAGAAACTAATGTGCAAAACCTACTACCATAATAATAATGAACAGTTTTTAAGTAAATTGGATAAAAATTTGATGAAGTCATGAAACTTATAATTAGCAAATAAAGCTGAGGATATTTAAAAAAAAAACGTATTCTGGAGTTCTTTTTCATTTATTTTTCAAGAATTTGGTATCCTTTTCAAGCTATGATATGTGCGTTATACAATAGTACTTACCTTTGACTGAAAATGTATTACATATAATTATCATGTTATCAATTACTTTTATAGGGAGCAAAGCATTTTCAAAAAGTGCTTTAAGGTGCTCATTTTTGATTTACGTTTTATAAAAACCCCTAAAGGTGTTTTTTTTTATTCGGGGTTTGTAAAAAGTGCTTAATTTTCTTTTCTTTGCATTATCGATAGTCATTCTAAATTACAAAAAATAAATGATTCTCACAATTTTCTCTGCAATATTTATCAGAAACTAGTTATTTTGTCATGTTTATTTAAAATCTTTGAAAATGTTTTTGAATTTTAATGATTTTATGTTTATAAACTAAGAACTTTAAACAATAGAAAAAATTAATTTTCATTACTGCACAGATCCTAATTCTGTTTTTTTTGGGGGGAAATGATTAAAAATATTTTTTGAAGACACATTATCCTAATGTTGATTGTTATTGTAGTCATTATACAAATCATGTCCAACAATTACTAGTCTAGTTGTATAGTTAATATGTTTATAATTGATAATTTATTATAAATATTCATGAAAATAAGTTAAAACTTTTTATTTTTTAGAATTTTCCAAAAAGTTCCAAAGGTGTCAATGCAGTATTTGATCTTTTTCGGTAAAGCATTATAAATGTACAATTTGTAGCAAAGTATTTGCTTGGAAATCCAGTTTAAAAAAAACATTCTTTTATATATTATAAAGGAAAGTCTTTAAAATTTTAGTAAAATTGTTACATTGCTGTTGTATGATACTTTGTGCAGACATAAAATTACAATTGTTTCAATTTAGTATTCATTAAAATATTTTGAATTATATTGTAAAAGTTTTTACTTGCTAACTATAATTTATACTAGCTTGTACTCTTATAATAGTATAACAAAATGTTCTTTTTTGTAGTTTATGGTAAAATAAATTGCTCTAGTGTCCTTAATATAACTCTTAACAAACAGATCGATATTAAGTATTTTTCGATGAATTTGTTGAAAAAGGTTTTCTTGATTTTGCCTTAAGACAAACAATCGAGAAATAATCTATTGGTTAAATCTTGTCTTAAATATTAATATGGTTTCCATTTATTTGCAATCTTCTATTTTCATCTATTTTCCAAATTTCTTAATTATTTTTTTATTTAGCCATCAATTTTTTGTAGCTGCTATAGTATATAAAAATTTGGGGTATTTCACTTTTAAAATAATTTTTATCAGAAATTTTTTCAAGTTAAAGTATTAAAAATAAGATTTAACTTGAGAACCCACCTTTTTGGAAAAAAATAGTAATAATTTTTATTGCTATTTTATTATTCTTTTTTAATAAATTTTGTATTCTCTATTACAATTTACGTATTTTATGTATTTTTCTTTCACTTTATTTAATAAAATGAAAATCTGAGCTTAATTAAAAAATTGTGATATTATAATTTTTAATATGGAAAGATGAGAGAGAAAGAGGTACATTTGAATGACTTTTGAGCTAATTACCATATTTTTCTATACTAGTATGCTATCTTAATGGTTCAAGAGATCAACCTTAAATGTGCATATTAATTTAGTGCAAATGATATTGTAAGGTATGGAACCAGGCAGAAAATCATACTTTTTCTGAATAAATATCCTTTTTTTCCTTAACAATTTCTAATTTTTCTTTGCTAATTTTGCCATACATCAAATACTTTTTTTAGAGTAAACAAAGTATTTTTTCTTAAAATTTTATAGCTTGTCTTTTCAAATAGGACTCTATGCAAAAAAAAAATTTTTATTATAAAAATTATTTGAATATTATTATTTTATTTATTTTTAAATTTTTGTTTTGACCACAAGAGAATTTCTTGTAGCAACTTTTTTCCCTATTTCTCTTTTTGCTTTCCTTTTTGTGTACATAGTTACTGGCTTTCTTTAGATATAATTAAAGCTTTATACCATCTTGTTATCATTATTTCAAAATGAATTTTTGGCAATACTATTACCATTCACGAAAAACATGTATTCTATTATCATTCATGTTTTAATAATTTTTTTCTTTATATATAATTGGACAAAATATGTTTAATGTATAATGTTTGGTTTATCAACGTTCTAACCTGCCCCTTCTAATGATACAAATATTGTTCCGTTTGTCAGACACTTTACTACTATGAATTGATTATTTTTCTATTAACATTTTATTACCATTTTAGTTTGAAATGTTTAATAGCAAAAAATGGCCTTAAACTTGGACACTTTAATAATTTCTCATATTAACCACTTCAGAACTGTGATTGTGCAACTCTCCCATAACGACTCGCAATATCACATGTGAAACAAGTCTTTTTAACTCTAGCGGGCTTAAATCACATGGATGTGACCTCGATATAGTACTCTCTTATTACATCTCGTATTAACATGTACATGTATATACAAACTCTGAGATTTTCCCTTCACGGCCTACAATATCACATATGAAACGAGCAGGGCTCGAAAAACCTCCCGTCTTCAGCAGCCAAAAATTGCCGCTGAGGACTGGCGGACAATGAATCTCTCGAATCCGACGTCCACGCAGACGGCCATTTTCATAAGAGAATTAAATTATTCCATAAAAGAAATAGTAGGGAACCGATTATCCGGAACGATCGGGACCATCGATATTCCGGATAACTGATTTTTCCGGTTTTCTGAATCGCTGCAAAAAGCCGTTTTTTTATTGTTAAACCCAACAAAAAAAAATTTGAAATAATTTTAAAAAGAAGAAAAAACGATGAAGTAATACACTGATAATTATTACCAAAATGATTGTAAGAAAAACATCTTTAAAAAAAGAACGAAAAATCCTAAAATCTTATGAGGAAAATTTTTTTTTTAAAAATAAATAGCGGGAAAATTTGTCGTATTTCGTTCCGGTTTTTTGGTTTTCCGGTTTTCTGATTTCCGGATAACGGGTTCTGTACTGTACTAAGTTTCTATTAGTAACCTAGTATTTCTTTTATTACTGTGTAATATAATCCAAGTATTTGTAATCCTAGTAACTACTAATTCATTGTGCAATTTATATAAATGTTTGTAATAAAAAGGAAAAAATTGTATTTTTATCTGTTTAGAAGCTACGGGTTAGTTTCAAAGGAGGACGGATGCATTGTTGGACCAGCCGTCCTCAGGGACGGGTAAAATTTCTGAGTTTTCTCGAGCCCTGAAAACGAGTCTCTTTGACTTGCGGACCAAGACCACATGGACGTAATCTCAATATTATACTCTCATTACATCTTGTATTAGCATGTATACGTATGTTCTCTTCAATGTGTATAAACTCAGAGTTGGCGAATCTTAGAAAGCATTTCTTTATCTGAGGGGGTTAAAAGAAAGTTCCTAGGAAGTATTTTTTTAATAGTAAGAATTGGAAACAATCATTAAATATTGTAAAGTGGGATTCTTTTATAGCCTTTGCTTTCTTTTTCAGATCTTAAAAAGGGTTATAGAATATATCAATGTTCTATATGCTTCTATTCAACACATTTCAAGTCTGATTTCACCAAGCACATGAGAGTTCACACTGGTGAAAAACCCTTTCAGTGTACCATTTGTAATAAGTGCTTTGCCTCACCCTCTAATTGGAAAAGACATACTTATACTCATAATAGGAAATCATTTTTATGATTTATAACGTAAATAACAAGTGTTATTCATGAATGTTAATTATGGTTTTTTTTTATTGGAAATATTATTTTTTATTTTAAACCATGTTATAATAAGATAAAATGTATACAAATAAAAATCTGTGAGTTTATCTTGTTTGATTTACTCTTTCTTTTTTAACCTTCCTATTAAAGCACATACAGTGAAACCTCTCGGGAGCGACCATTTTTTCGTTACACAGCAAAATGGCTGTTAATGGTGGTTGGTCCTTCTTAAAGGCTACCTCCATTGACTTCAAAATTTTTATCGAAGGTACCTGATTTTTCATAAATGATTTTAATTTTAGTCAGTGTCATTTTCTTGGTGCAGAAATGCTACGTCTGTTGTAGTTGTGAGAAACAGATCTATGAATAAAATTTAGCGTCTATAAAAATTATCCCAACTGATAAAATTATGTGTAAGAATTTATTTACCAATTATGAATGATAAATGTATTTTAAATAAATATGTTTTTTGTTTAAGTTTGCATTTAATTTTGTATCATAAAAATTAATTTGCCTTAAAAGATGAGAAGATATTTGTCTGTTTGATATGTTGGTTTTTTTCTAAAATAACTTTTTTCTAATTAAATTTTCAACTCTAAAAGTAAATCATTGACAGCATCGTCTTAAGTGCATTCTGACTGCAACATGAGGTTGTAACATGACGTATTGTGAAAAAGAGCTCTCTAAATAAGAGCCTCATGCAAATATACTGAATACATTTTAATCTACTTATTTGTTTTGTTAAAAATTCTGTTTTGATGAAAACATCAAAAAAATCAATCAAACATCAGAAAAATCTGCATTTCCTTATTTGATCGTTTTTGCATTTAATGCAGATGTTTGTCCTGTTGCTGGGAGAGTTTTAAATGGTCTCTCCTAAAAGTTTTCTTCAACACTAAGTCTATGGAAAAAATTCTGTTCCTTTCAAGATTGGACTTAAATAGAAGTGGTCTTTCCTGGAGGTTTCGCTGTATATATATTTTTAAAAATGTTATTCTGAAGATATTTTTCATTATGTAAAGTGTACCTGATTTTCAACTGTACAAGTAATGAGTTGATACTTAAAAATTGTAACGCAAATCAATTATGATACCTTCTTAACATTTATTTCGAACGCATGTTTTAAATTTTCATGTGCTTCAATTTGTTTTCTAATTTGGCCTGGATAAATAATACTTTTTCACATTTTCTTACATTTCTAAGGAATCTTTGGATTTTACTATTAGCAAATATATTACTAAAACTAAAACTCTGCACAGTCTGATTGCTTTTCTATTAATTTTTTTTGAAGAAATGATTATGTATTGTAAAAATATGTAGAAAAAATGTATTTTTGCTATAACCTTTTGTCTTTCTTTTCAGATTTTACCAAAAAGTTTAGAATGCATTATTGTACTATTTGCTCCTATTCAACATATGCCACTACTAGTTTAGCCAAGCACTTGAGAGTTCACAGTGGGGAAAAACCCTTTCATTGTACAATTTGTGATAAGCGCTTTGCCTGCCCTTCCAATTTGAAACGACATACTTTCATTCATAATAAGAAATCGTTTTTGTGATTTATATAAATTACAACAAGTGTTATTTCTAAATGATAATTTAGGTAATTTCTTTTATAAAATTGCTTAACTTTAAGGGATGATATTAAAAAGTAAACTGCTTACAAATGAAATTGATGTTGGATTTACTGTTTCTTAAACCTTCCAATTGGTGCGAGCATATGTAAGAAATTTCCTTATTTGGCTACATATTTGTTGTTCACATAAATTATTCCTGATTAAAAAGTCTTTCATTTGCTATACAATTAACATTGGCTAATCTTGGCACTTAAATTTTATGGCAGACTGTAGATAGAACTACTGGCTAAAATTTTACTAGTAATAAAAATAGACCCTTATAGTTTTTAAAAATTTTGTGTGAAGGTTATGTGTTGAAAATATGGAGAAAAAACAATATGGTTCTTTTAATGCTTTTCTTCTCATGTTTAAAAAAAATTAAAATGCATCAATGTAGTATTTGTTCCTCTTCAACACCTGCCTCAACTGGTTTAATCAAACTGGTGAAAAACCTTTTCAATGTATGACTTGTAATAAATGCTTTGCTAATCCTACTGATTTGAAAAGACATACTTCCATCCATGATAATTCATAGTTTTTGTGATTCATGTTTATAACAAGCATACTTCTATTCATGATGAAACATGTTTTTTATGTATTTGTGTAAAACATGCATGGATTTATGTAAATAACAAGTGTTCTTCAATTTTGTTTTTAATCAATGTCTTTTATTAAATTTTTTGCTGAAGGAATGTTATGATATTAAATATTTGTGAATAAAATTCCTCTATTTTATTTTGTTTAATTTACTGTGAAAAAGTTCCTTCTTTATTTTTAAAAATATTAACTTTTTCATCTGGTTAAAAAAAGATATCTGTAATCATAGCTTGATACTCTATGTAACTAATTATTTCCTCCAATGCTTCATGTCGTTGATTTGCTTTTAATATTTTAATTTTTGTTCAAAGATTATTCTTTCGCGAAGAAAATTTAATCCGTCATTAGTGTTCTTTATTTAATTATCACTGTTCCATGAAAATTGGTTACTAAAATTTGTGTCTTAAGGAATTTTTAACGTTAGTAAGCTTCAATTATTAGGAAAATGTTTTAAAAATAAAATCTCCTATTAGTTTCTTTGCTTTATGATAAGCATATTTTTTTTATTTTCAAAGTAAATAAGATGTTGATAATTTATTTAGTTAAGTTCTTATGTAAAGATTTTTTCTGAGTTTCTTCTCAGGTAACATGGTGTAGCATTCGTCATAAATATTTACACTGATTGATTTTGGCATATTAAGTGCATGTTTCTATTTATCGCACTATAATTATATCCAGTTCTTTAGCCGCCAAACTGTATTCAACCAAGGCATTTTGAATGTGTTTAGTTGATATTTTTTCCCATTTTTGTTTAGATAACTGTTATGAAAATTGTTGTGAAAACTTATATTTTTATTTCAATATTTTGGTTATTTTATTATTATTTTTTCTAAATACAGTTGTTTACAATATCATTAATCCCTGCGCAATTTCATCATAATTTACACTGTTAATTAGTTTTGTTACTTAATTTTTAGCTTGTGTGGTATGTTTTTTATAAACTAAATAGTTAATACAAAAAGTTGCTATTTTCCTTTATCAGAATCTAAACGGTTTTCTTAAGATAACAGAAAAAAAAAGCATTCTTATAACTTGTCCTTTTATTTTTCAGAATATTCCAAAAAACCTAGAAGACATCAGTGTACTATTTGTTTATATTCGACCTACTTTAAGGCTGACTTAACTAAGCACATCAGAGTTCACACTGGTGAAAAACCTTATAAGTGTGTCATTTGTAACAAGGGATTTGCCTGTCCATCCAATTTAAAAAATCATTCTTTCACTCATTATAAGAAACAGATTTTTGAATTTTCTAAATAGCAAAATGATACATGTGTATATCATTTTAAATGTTTGGTTTATTGTTGCTGTTAAAAGAAACAACTGAATACAGCTTATTGTATTTCTTACCTATTTAAGATCTTTTTGTACCTTGTGTGAAAGAGAAGGGTTTAGTAAATGTTTTCTATGGAAGATATTATTGATTTGAATTCTGTTTCATGTTTAGCTTTTGTTGTTTATGGTTAGATAACTCATTCAAGCATGAAGAACTGTTTTATTATGATTATAAGTTGGTTCTCTTTAATCTTTGACTAGTCATTATGTATGCTCTAAAGAATGTACATAAATCTTGAAGCTTGTATATGTCATAGCTGCAAATAAAGTGTTTTAGTTATTTGCGCATAATCTATAAAATAAAATAAAAACTGAAAGCATATTTAATAAGCTACTAAAGTATTTTCTAATCTATGAAATGCTATATAAGTTCTGATGTGCTTTCAGTCAAAACCAAACTGTAGCTAAAAAAACACAAAATACATGTATATTTGTATCCCAATAACAAAAAACCACAGCAGTTTTCACACTTAAATAAAAAAAATGAATTTTGGGCTGCACTGGCTTTGAAGTAGAACTGACTTTCAAAGCTGGAAATGAAGGGGCTGTTTTAGCAATTTCTTTTAGAAAGTGTCCTGCACATTATTACTGCACTTGCAGACTTTTTGTCTAGGTTTTATTTTTAAAAAGCAAACAAATAAATGGGGAAATATTGTTACACTCCGTTTTAAAGCATCTCCAAACTTGTTTCGAATAAAAATTACAAAGCTGAATTCAGAGAACACAGCAAATAAGAAAATCATGTTTTTTCTGTTACATGAATACAAGCTTAAGTAATTATCATTTATTCCATTTTTGCAGTATCATAGTATAACATTCAACTTAAATTTAAGCAACGTAATGTTTTTATGTATAATTTTTAAGGACCTTATATTTGCAAGTTTGCTACACGCATGTTAAATTGAGCTGACTTTTTACAATAATAATCTCTGCCTGACTGTGTTGAAGGCGCAGATGCGTCTAAACTTTTGAAGATTCGCTCTGTAAATTCTGCAGCTGGAAAAAAGTCTATAAGATTTTTTAGGACTTGAGTCTGTCACTTTAAAATCAAAATTCTTCTTTTTAGTAAAACTTTGCATTTTTTAATTTTGTTTATTAATTTAGACTTAAAATTGCTCTTAAAACTTTTGACATTAAAAAAATCTAATCTTGGCATTTTATCTCCAAAGATGTCAGTTTCATTGTTTTGCTGTAATGAATTCATTATTGCAATGAAATTTTATTAACCAATTCAATGTTTCATTTTCCTTGCATTGGCAGTAAATCAAGCTTTCCTCATAACTGTATTCGCTATCGCAATGTTCGAATATACCATCTGGGGGAGAAGACCGGTTCCATGGTTTGACCCTTCCCTCTCCTCCTCTTTTCAGTTGCACAGGAATGTACTACAATATTTTTCCCTTTCTAAATATATTTCATATTTGATTGTAACTAAATATTTTTTCAATTTTTCACGATGCTTTCTTTTGAACCTATGTTCAATATAGTTTTCAATTCCATATAGTTTCCTAAATTAAAAGTTTTTAATCTATTTGAGAATAAAGACAGAAACTAACGTACTACCTTCTCCTATGACTCTCCATCCACTAATGGTGAAAGCAAAGTATTGGCATAGGTAGAGAGTTCTGCTCTATGCCACCTGTAGCCCCATTTTGATTGCTTAATGAATAAAATGCAAAACAAATTTGCTTAGACCCAGAACAGGTTATTGTATTGTAAGAAATCAAAAGTGTATGGCAAATTGATGTCTTGATTCAATATGCTAAACCATTTTGTATAAACAAAAATTAAATATTGCAAAGTATTCTATGTTTTTACTACAGTAAACTTAATACCAATTGCAGAAAAAATTAGTTCACAATGTTTAAAATCATGAATTAAAATTACAATAATTTATAATGTCCATTTTCTTTTTATTAACAATTTCTTTATTTTTGTAGGATTCTTCCTGAAAGACATCCTTCAAAAGTCTCAGTGTTCGTATTGCAGCTTCTCAAGCCATGCCTCAACAGATTTAACCAGACACTTAAAAACTCATAAGGGTGAAAAAATATTTCAATGTTCAAACTGTCCCAGATCTTTTAAACGGAAGTATCTTTTAGAACAGCATAAGACAATTCATTTTCCTTTGTGATGTGTGCACGATGTTATTTTTATTTCAGAAAAACATTAATGGCCACAAATTGTTACCCTGCTTTTTAAAACATTTTTGCAAGTACAGTTTTAATCATAATGCTGTTCTGAAATATTGTTTTCTTACTCAAAGTAAATGCTTCTTTTCTCAGGCCATCCATAAATCTAAAAATTTGAACCAGACTGTCAATTTCTTTAAATTTTTTTTCATTTTTAAATAACTAATAAGAAAAAGGTTATTTTATGATCCAACATTTTTAATTTTTCTTAGTACATTAGTTAAAGTTCAAGCTTTTAATTTAATCCATAAATCTAAATATTTTAACCAAACTGCCAATTTCTTTAAATATTTGTTAAAAAATTATTTTATGATCTAAAATTTTTAATTTTTCTTAGTATGTTAGTTAAAGTTTATGTTTTTAATTTATCTTTTCTTTATAAATAGTTTTAAGAATATAGCATTATTTTACTTTATTTGATATATTAATAGTTATTGAACTTAGTTCCAGGTACATTCTGGTCATACATGCCAATTCTTTTACTTTCGTTACTTAAAATAAATCTATAAAACTCGTAATTTTACTTGCATTTTGTTACTTTTTAAAATTTAGTATTTTTACTTTTTTTTGGGTGCTATCTAATGGATGTATTCAATATACTTTGTACTTAAAAAGTTGCCCTAGTTGCACCTTAGTTCATAGATTAATCTGAAATAAATACTTCAATTTTTGTTTAGAATTGTGCATTTGCTTTTAAAAATGTTTGCAGACTTCAGAAACTTACTGTACTTTGTTTTGCTATAATGTATCAATCATAATAATAAAAAACTTTTTTAGTTATTATACGCATTGAAACAAAACATTTATTCACACGTTAATTATTGTAGTTATCTAATTAAAAATAATAACTAATAATTAGTACTATTTGTTACGATACATTTATAGGCTTTTTTTATTATTTTACTTTTACAAGATTTTTCAATAAAGGCAAAAGACATAGCTGTTCGTTTTGCAGTTATTCAAGCGATTATACAACAGATATTACCAGGCACTTGGGAACTCTCACTGGAGAAAAACCATTTCAGTGTATGATTTGCAATAGATGTTTTAATCAGAATTCTATTCTAAAAAGTCATATGTCAACTCATTTTAAGAATCATGCTTTGTGATGTTTCAGTTTTTGATAGGTGTGATACCTGATCTCTTCAGTTCAACTTCTTCATATTATGAAAATTTAATAAAATTTGAAAGTATTCTCTATTTTTGTTTGAAATTTTTACTATATTTTTAAATGGCATAAATTTGTAAGCATTAATACTGGCCATCTACCATACAAAAAAAATTGAAGGGCAAATCATGAAACCAAAAGAAAATGCAATAATCAGCATAGCAAAAGCTTTGTGTCCATAAGGTTTCTTCTGCTTAATAACATTCTCTCTTGGATAGACAGCATAAGTTACTGCTGCTATAAATGTTTTTACACCTTTGTTTGAAATATTTCAATGTATCTTTTTGTGTTACCTGAGGTGTTAAGCCTAAATGATATTTAGTGATTATCATTTCAGTCATGTTTGTAACAATTGAAACTTTCCCTTAAAAGGAACATATATTGTAGTTTTAATGAAAAGTTCTGGTATGCAGCTTTCCTTAAAATTATTCATAAATTACTTTTGTTCGACGTGTATTTATTTCACCACATGATGTCATGATTAATTCAACCAACAACCTCTTAATAGGGTTGGTGCCATACCTTTTTATTTTAGAGTTCAGTTTAAAAGTAAAATTATTTTTTCTCTTTTCTAAACACTTTTTGTGTAAAATAAGACTAAAACTAGTCCTTCACTAATGTAATTTAATTTTTATGGTTTAAAGGATAGAGGGTTTGAGATGCCTAAATATGTCTTCACCTTTTGTTTTTTGAGCTAAAAACCAGTTTTCCTCCTTGTTATTCAATAATAAAATTATGTATAAAGAAGATATTTCCATAAATACTCAGTTAATGCAATATTGCAATGTCAAAAGAACAGAATGTGGGGAACTACATATAAAGACATTAAATTATTAGGAAAAAAATACAGCAATAAAAAATTCCATATTTATGATGACATCGGATCACAGTGACAATTTTCTATCAATTTCTTTAAATGTTTTTGCTGATGATAAATGTTAGTACTGTTAAAATTTAGACTTTTAAGAAATAATATTACATATTTCAACTTGGTAAGGTGTGATGACTTTTGTAACTGACTTATTTCTGCCTGTCTGATCTTACCAATATAGTACATATATATATTTTTATTTGAAAATTTGTTATTAATGTCAAAAGGTTGTTATATCCTATATGTCACATGCTTTGTACTTATAAGGTTTTAAATTAAACTGATGATTATTCAAAGATTATCACAGAAAAATGTTTAAAGTTAAAATAATTTTTACTGGAAAGTCATGTAAAAGGAATATATTCAGAGTTGATAGTTTTTCTAACCTTGACTGTTTTTCTGTTGTAAATTTTTCAAAACAGTTAGTCTATTGTAAATCTTATGCTATATTATTAGGACACCCTCTGTCATTATCTTGAACACCTTCTGTAATTTTTTCATTTTTTTTTCAATTTCTTTGTTAAAAGTGTTTGCTTAACTTTGTATTTATTACTTGAATAAAATAATTAAAAAAAATAAAATAATTATCGATCTACTTTTTCACCAGTATAACACTGTAAATTATTGATGTAAGTAGATTTTAAGAAAAAAACATTTTCCTTCTCCTCTGTGTCCTAATTTTACGTTAAAAAAAGTTGGCTGAACAAAGGTTTGTAATGTGGTATTAAGCAAGTTGACTGCTATTATGTATATCCAGAGAAATTTATTAGATTTTTAGGAGAAAGAATTTGAATAATATATGGTTAATATGTTTAATTTCTGTCATGTAATATATTAGTTGTGATTATAATATTGTATATTTCATTCTAAAATTTAATTAGTACTGTTTATATTCTTCTAAAAATGCAATTCTGTTGTTTTTACTGCATTTAGTAAATATAACTTTTAAAATTTCAAAAAGAAAAAAAAATTTTAATAAATATTTAATTAAAAATAATCCAAAAAAATTTTAACACTCTTTTGTTACAGTATTTTGTTTTTGCAGGATCTTTCAAGAAGGGCAAAAGGCACCAGTGCCCGTTTTGTTACTACTCAACTGTTTATTCGACACATTTAACCAGGCACTTGAGAACTCACACTGGCGAAAAACCCTTTCAGTGTGACATGTGCTACAAAAACTTTTCCTCAAAGCAAAATATGGAAATGCACAAGATCATTCATTTGAAAAAAAAACTTTTATAATAAATTGTATGTGTCATTCGATAACAATATGCAATCAAATACTTTTTTAATTTTCTTTGTTTAACAACAACTGCTGTTAACAAAAAAATTTAGACGTAGAAATTTATATTTCTTAAATATGTAAGCAAGCTTTGCATTTGGAATAATAATGTAATGTCTTGCGTAAAATAATGTTGGGTGTTTAAAAATGCTGTGTTTTGCTGAAAAAGCTTTATAAGATTGCTATTAATCTTATTTTGTTTGTGGGTTTATTTATAAAATCTATAATAATGTACAAAGCACTTATATTTTTCTTTTATTAGAGTAAATGTTTTTTTCTGTACAAAACTGCCATTAAGAAATTTATTGTAAAAATTTCTGTTTATCCATATTATGTTTAATACTTATGTGAATCTTGTAATTTGTCACAAGTGCTTAAACTTTTTTTCTAAATAAAATGCAAATGTACCTTGATTTTTTTTTAATTTACTTAAAGGAAAGATATATGTATATATATTTATATATATGAACATATTTATATATGTGTATATATTTATTTATATATATACACTACTAAACTCAGTGGCGTGACAGCCTACAGAGAGCCAAGGCCTACTGCACCCATCTCAAGTTTCTTGACCTGGGGTGCTAGTGCTGATGTTCCGGTTGGGTGGTCAGCCGAACGCGGAACCCCCAGTGTTAGTTGAAAGGCTGAGTCAACCTTGTACGGCCCGAGGATCAAACCAAGGACAAGTGGCTCGAGAGTGTGAAGAAGCGCTACCGCTCAACTATTGGGCATCTTATATATATATTTATTTATTTATATCTATACATATTAATAAAATTACGTAATCTTGTTTCAGCTCTTACTCTTGATTATAAAAATCACAATTTTAAATTTTTTATTACACATAAAGTTTCTTATTAAGAACTTTATTAGTACCTAATAAGAAACATTTTGGGTAAAAATGCTAGAAAATCTTATCCATTTATAATAATGATCTTTAATATCCAGAAATCTTTTAGTATCCTGAAACTGTTTATCTTTTGTATCACTATGTATTTGCCAATGTTAATATTTTATTGAATAAATGTTCATGTATAACTATATTTTATGCATGTATCTGTGATATTCGTTTTTTAAAATATTTTTTATCTGCCTTGAAATATTTTTTATTCTTTTTTTATGTTGTTCTTAGTTGGTGTTTATATATGATAAGAATGTAGATGTGGTCCCAATTGTCTCAGAAGATTGAATTCAGTCATTTGATCTTTTTATAGACTAGGAAACGTTTGGGTTTGATAGTTAAGAGACCACCAACAGATCCAATTTACAAACATACCTAGTAGCTTATTTGAATTCTCTACAAGCTGAGGTCTTGTTGCAATAAAATATGTATGTAAATTTTTTATGAATGATTTGAAGAAAGAGAAAACATATCTTTTATTTGAGCTTTGAAATAGCTCAATTTCTTCAAAAAAGAATTACATATGAATACTATGTGTTTACATTATATTTCATTTTATTTTTTATAAACTTTTGCATGTTGAAATGGTTTTCATAATAAATATTTAATTCGTGTAATTTAGAGTGACAAATAAAATAATTGACATACTCTTATTTTTGTAGCAAATTTGAAGAAAGGCAGAAGATACCAGTGCCAATTTTGCCACTATTCATCGAATGACAAAACAGGTTTAACCAGGCACTTAAGAAAACACACTGGTGAAAAACCCTTTCAGTGTGACATTTGTTTAAAAAGTTTTTCCATGAAACACAGTATGCAATTGCATAAGTTAACTCATTTAAGACATAGGTTCCCATAACATAAATATGTACAGTATATAATTTCAAAATAAGTCTGATACAATTGGAAAACAATACTCATAATCATATATTTAAGAAAATATTGTTTGTTTACTTCCAACTTAGAAACATTTTTACAAATTTTAAACGTATTGAAATATGTAAGTCTATAGCTGCCAACTCTACTGATTTTTTCAATGGACTGGATTTTGCCCGTTTCTACTGGTTCAATAAAAATTCTGTTTTTAGAAAATTTTCTAAAATTGCATAAGTTTCCTAAAAAAATCCCTATTCAAGTAGAATTTTTTCAGGATTATTGTTTGCTTAAATATTGAAATAAGTATTACTAATACGAAGCGAAGAGGTTATAAAAATCAGTTTAAAACTTTTTCTTCTGAAATATTCAGTTTATTTTTATTCTGAACTCTCTTTTCAAATTAATTAAGAAATCTTAACTATCTTTGATCAATTAAGTTTTTATCACTATTCAAAATTATGAATAAACATGATACGTAACATTTCAAGTATATCTTATGTCATTCATAACTGGAAAATACTGCAGATTTTAATAAGATACTGGTTACAGATCATTGAATGAAAAATTTTCAAAGTGATTACATTAATGCTAAAATTTAATTTAATTTGTCGGTTGCCAGAGATTTGCACATGCCAACAATTGTACTTAACAAGATTGCTAAAACATTTTTATAAATACTAGCTTGTATTCAATATTTTATTTTGATGACTTTTTTTTTAATAAAATTCAATTTCATTTGTTCAATAAAAAAAAATTCTACCAAGTTTTTTTTTTAAATAATATTGTACCATGTTATCAAATTGCTTATATTATACTTAAAATTTTTCCTTTTATTACATAGCTTTTGTTTTACTAATTAAATTTTAATGAATTTTTTTCTTGTAAATGTTTTTTGTTAATTTATGATTATTTTTCTTAATTTATATTTTATGAGATTTTTCTATTTGTTTTTACGAAATATTTGTACTTTGCAGCTTTACACACAATCTATAAAATTTCTTTTAATTTTTTTTAATTTCAATTTTACAAATATATATAGAAAGAGAAAGGAAACTACAACCATGGTTTTTTTTTATGATAAGACAGAAATATTTGTGTTTACATATAGAATAAAAAAAGGCATTATGTTGTTGCATATTTAGATGTTCTATAATGTATTTTTTAAGCTGTGTATATAATTCTTTAATGTGTGAAAAATGTGTTTATTTGTTTGTTGTAAACACATTAAATTATTCTTTTTACAGATGTAAAAATAATAAATGAAACTTTTATTCTACTTTCTATTTTGATTTATTCTTAGTAGTCCTATTGATTATTCATTCTTTGTTTTTAAATATTCTTGCTTATTGAAGTAAAGATATTTAGAAATGGCTACTTATACTTTTATATGATATTTATAAAAATTATTAATTTGTATCTTTAAAATAAATTGGACATGTGATATTTGATATCATAAATGCATATTTATTTTTAACTTTGATGAAAATAACCAAAATTTATCACCAAAATATAATTAAAATCGGAAATATCTTTAAATAAAATACGAATTAGTATTTTTTGTTATGTATTAAATTAAATTGCGTTATAAACAAGTTTTATTTTGTTCTTCGTACACTCTTTCTTTCTTTATCAAATGTTTCCTGTAGAAATATTATATATGATATATCATTAACATTTACTGAACTGATCTATGCATTTGAACAATTTGCTAATGATCTCAGGCATTAAGTTATTATGAAGACTGACTATAATTTACACTATTTATTTAAAGCTGTTGTCAGTGTATTATTTATGTTTTTCGATTAATGCAAGTTTGCATCTTAAGCATTTATAAATTTTTAGTTATCTTGAATTGTTCTGATGAATTGATTTAAACTTATTGAATAGAAAATATAGAATTTCGATATTGTTAAAATAAAATAAATTTATATTTTAATAATATTTCAATTATTTATTTTTTAAAACAAAAGTTTTAAATATTAATATATTTTTATATTATACATGAACTGATTATTATATGCTGTTTTTCAAATTACTGTAAATGGTTTGCAAATTATAATCTTTTTTTTTTTTTTTTTTATTTTATTTCAAAAATAAGCTATGAATTTCTAATCTTTATTTTATGAAGTCAGAAAAACAATTCTAGCAGAAAACAACAAAAAATTTTGAGATATATGTGTTAGAATGACAGCACTTAATTTATTTCTGAAGTTTTCTTAATAATTTGTCAATTTAGATTTTATTTAGATGTGGCTATTCTAACTGTAACTTTTTCTTTATTTTTCTTATTTGATTATAGGGCCTTGGGGCACTGTCAGTTTTTAGTTTAACCACTGACAACAGAAAGTCTCCTGTGTGTTAGCAGGCAGTGTATCCCCTAATGAATAACTGTCCTGCTAACACACATATTTTAAATTTTGTTGTTTTCTGCTAGAATTGTTTTTTTTTTTACTCTATAACCTAAGATAAAACAAATTTGGATTTAACTGCTTTAAGTGCTTATCTATTTTGATTTATTATTATGAATGTTACTTACTTATTCTGTCTTTTTCTGAATTTGTAAATTAGTTTCATTCTTTGATTAGATTTCTAATCTTTATATAAGTAACATAATTGGTTTTTTTTCTATAGTTATTTAATAATAATTAATTCTCGCTAATTTAATAATCTCCAAACATGTTTACTTATTCTTCTAAAAGTAGCTATTATATCATATTCTATGACGCTTTTTCTTCAACTATTTATTGCTTGTATCCAACTATACATAAAAATCTAATGATGGTGTCGCAGGTTTCCATAGTTGTTGGTGCATTTTTATTGGCCAGAAAATCACTTGGTAGGATCCAGTTTTCCCACATTAATTTTCATATTGGTTTGGCTGTTATCAGCATAAAATTGATATAAGCCATAAAGGTATTGTTTTCCTATAAATATTTTTGTATCCCTAATTTAAAGGTATTTACCTTTACTGTTATTATTACATTTTTAATATTGTTTGTTTTCAAAATACAGTGTCTTTTATTTTAATATAGAATTAGTGTGTATGTCACTGTTTCTTATTTCCTTGAAAACTTCCTAGTGGTATTGATTACAACTAAATGTTTGTGCTTAGTTGTGAAGTTGTTTTAAAAATGTTATCCAAAATTATTTGAAAATCAAAGGGGAGAAAATGGGGAAAATTAAATGAAACTTGTCACAAAAGTGGTGTTTGGGTCGTATTTTGAAGATAACTAAGTTTTGACAAATCAATTACTTGAAAACTAGGTTCTGCATGAAAGTTATCACACAACGAAGATGAGTAATGCTGTGGAAATACAGTTCCTCTCTGTGCACTTCAATTGTTTTCTCGGAATCTGATTTCATTGACAAAAACCTTTCCCTTCCCCCTTGATCTTCATGGATAAGACAGATGATATGGTATCATGATAGTAACTATAATGAGATTAGGTTACGCGGTACAGTTCCAAACTGTTTTATTTTAAAATGCATTCTTATCTTCCACAGTGTAGATTCATATTTAATTCATTAGAATATTAGTGATAAGTACAATGTTTAGCACTAATTTGTTATTTTGTTCTTTTAGGATTCTCCAAAAAGCACCAGTGTATATTTTGCAACTACTCAAGCCATTATAAAAGGAATTTAACTGATCACATGAGAACTCATACTGGTGAAAAACCCTTTCAATGTAGCTTTTGCTACAAATGCTTTTCTTTAAAGAAAAACATGGAAAGGCATAAGATCTCTCATTTAAAATTGAATATCTAATAATTAGCATGAACTGCTATGAATGATTATTTTATTATGTGTTTTGCATTATTATGTTTGTCTTTTCCTAATTCTTGTCTGTCTTGTAATAATGTCTTTTCCTAATTGTTTTTTTTTCCTAATAATATTTCTTTTTCATGCATTTCTCATTTGATTAAGTGAAAGTTGAACTATGAACAATTTAATATGAAAGTGGTTTTTGTTTAGTGTTAATAAGCTGTGTTATACTTTTGGGAATTTGAAGAAAATGAAAAGCAGATTCTGAAACAAATACAATTGTAAAAGGAAATTCTTTGTCCAAAAAGTAAAAATCTGAAAAGCTATTGTGGAAAAAGTATGTTGTTAATTGATTCTGAAAAAGACATTCTAAAGCTGCCCAAATACATCTATCAGCAAATTTTATAAAATTTGAATTGTTTTTAAAAAAAATTGTGAATTGTTGTTTTAGTCTGTTATTTTTGTAATTTAATTAACAGCATTTAATTTTTATCAACTACTGTAATTTAATCTCTTTAAAGCTGGTAATGAAGAAAATCTATATTTTTCTAATACTTTAAAAGAAACTTTTAATGCTTTGTACTCTGCTGAATAATGTTCAATAAATAAAATTATTATTAATAAAATTTTATTTTTCTATATTCCCCTTGTGATAAAGAATTTATATGTCTTCATTAATACACTCAAGGTTTTTTTGTAATGACAGTTGATAATATATATTTTTAGGATCCCTGTCAAAAATGAAATCTAAAAAGTTAACTAAAGAGGAGTCACAAATGAATACCTAAATTTGGAGAAAACAATTATTTTACCGAAATCTAATGAATCACTACCAAAGGAGGGGGAACTAAAAACGTTAAAACTTGTCTTACTGACATAGGAAACAGAGTCAAAGCAATCATCCTGTGTTTCTGTTGTCAATCAAGCTTGTTTCAGTGCATCTTATTTTGTTTTCCTTTATCAGTGATTTATTAGATTTCAATTCCATATTTTCGTTTCTATCTTCCTTGCTACCCTTAATGTCTCTACTTTATTGACTTCATGTCAATCAAGGATTCTGATAATATATATTAAGGGTTGTGATTACAGAACACCTTATATATTTGTTTTCTTTTTATGCTCCTGCACTAACATTATTTCTGAAATTTTCAGCATCTTTTTATTCAATTTCAATGAAACTGGTTATACTTAAACGAAAAATACTTTTGCAATTAGAAAAAGATAAATTTACTATTTAACTAGATTTAAATTGCTTATTATATTTAATTTTTTAAACAGCTACTCCAATGCTGCATTCTTTGAGCTCATAAAAATTTGCGAAATACTCATCGATTTTAAGAATTTTATTTAGAGGGAAAATATTTCACAAACTTCAAGTTTTTTAATAATTGTTTTGATGTTAAAATTATTTGACTTTTATAAAATTGAAGTTTTTTTTTCAGCAAGATAGTATATGTTACACAATTAAAGCTTTTGTTTGGGTTTATGTTATTAAAACAATGATTTTTATTGGTAAAAGTGTTTCAATGAACACTCTTAATAAATGGGAATATTGTGGATTGAGTTAAAAATTCCATACAAACTTTGCTGGAGGGATTAACCTTTGGAGTAGTAAGAAAAAATATGACTGACACTTTTTAGTTACTTTACAGAATGATAAAATTAATGTCTTGCTGTAATTTTTGTTTTTAAGAATGATAAAAAATTTTGACTGACACCTTTTAGTTATTTTGTGAAAAGATAAAAAGTAATGACTAGCACCTTTTAGTCATTTTGTAATATGATAAAAATTATGGCCTGAATTAATTGCTATTTTAAAGAGTGATAAAAAATTATTAAGAAAATTTAAAAAATGATAAAATTATTACTTTCTCTATTTTTTGTTTTTAAGAATGGTAAAAATAATGATTTGCTCTATTTTTTTGTTTTTAAGGATGATAAAAATAAAGACTTGCTCATTTTTTTTAAAAGAATGATAAAAAATGACTGGCACCTTTTTGCTATTTTGCAGAATGATAAAAATAACGACTGGCACTATCTAGTTCTTTAGTTCTTTTACTTTGCAGGATCTTTCAAGAGAGGCAAAAAGCACCAATGTTTATTTTGCAGCTTTTCAAGCAATTATACAACTGATATAACGAGGCATATGAGAACTCATACTGGTGAAAAACCATTTCAGTGTGACATCTGTTACAAACACTTTTCTTTAAAGAGAAACATGGAACGACATAAGATTGTCCATTTCTCTGAGAATTTCATCTAATGTGTATAAATTCTTTGTGTTGATTCTTTAATTTTTACACATTCTTGATTCTTTAATTTTGTCACAAAAGAATCTTTTCCTTTTCCCCCTTTTTTTTTCAATTCCACTCAAGCAAAACCAATTTTTAACTCGGTCGCAACTTACATAAAATGTAGCAATTAGTGCTTTTTTAGTGTTGCTTTAGAACACCTTTAAACATAATTGCTGAATTAAATTTTGTGATATTGAATAAGAGTGAGAAGACGGAATTTAGTCTTTGTTTGCAATGATATTTGCATATGTTTTAAATATTATGTACACCAATTTAGAAATTTTTTTTAATTTTCTCTGAAATTCATACTTAAATTGAATTTATGAATATCTATGCATTGTTCTGATTTAATCCTTTCGTTTAAAATTCTGATCACCAAGGCAGTGTTATGGTTTTTGTAAAAACATATTTTTGGTCTGAATTTCTTTGTTTTTTTAACTTTTACATCTCTAGTAATTGTTAGAAAGAAAAATATTTTAAAATGAAAAATGTTTTACAGAGAGTTTTGATATTATTTTTCCTTTTTTATTGTTAATATTAATTTTGATAATTTAAAATAAAGACTTGAATTAAACATTGTTTATTTAGTTTCAGTAATTACTGTTCAAAACTGTATTTTAAGTCTGAAAAATTTTTCTTTTTCTTATTCAAAGAATTAAAAAAAATTATTCTTCATTAAAATTATATCTCAAAAATAGACCTTTCACATGATATTAATAATGAAAATTCAAATCAATAAAAAAAAATTATAGATTATTTTTCCATAATTTTTCTGTTATGTCAATCTTTTTTATTTTTAAATTTATTACTAATGTAACCTTTGTAATGTAATATAGCATTTATAATATGATCACTAATAACAAAGTTGTAAATATACCATTGCAATATTAGTTATAAAAATTATAATTTTTAGTAGTTTTATTAATAATGAGATTAAATTTTGTAATTTTAAAGGCCCAATAGCTTTTAGGTTTTGGTTTAGAGTGACAACACTTAGCTTTTGCAGTTTTATACTATTAGGGGAGGTACCTTGGTCTGCGTGTAATTTTGACCAGTTTAAATATTTGTGCTTCTTAGTCTACAATTTTGTCATTTATACTTATAACAACAGCTACTATCTGCTATGTTGAAAACTATTTTGGGGTCTCCAAACGTATAAATCAGGCATGATCTCAATGTTAGATTATGTATTAGGCAAGCTAATCATTTTTAAGTTAAAGTGTTTAGCTTTAAATGTGCTTAACGACAGTGATAGTTTCATTCAGTCAATAAAATTTCACCATTTTCCATACTTATTCCTGAAATCTACTCCACATTTCACAATTAAAGCTTAAGATATTAAAATGTACTTGCTTAAAGGTACTCGTACTTTGTGAATACTTCACATCTGAGTAAGATATACAGATTATTGCTTTATCAACAAGTTCCTCTTTTCCATCAATGCAAAACTGTTTACCTATGATGCAATCTATAAAATTAAATCTGCTTCAAATTATCTTAAATCTTGTAATTAAGTTTGTTGCCATTCTAATAATTTAAAACTTTTATTACTTTTTTTTCACATTTCGAAAATCTATCAGTTGAAAGAAAAAATTGAATATCTCTGTCCCGCTTTGGATTTAACCGAACTCAGATACTGCAGTTTGTTTTGTAAAAATATTTTTATCTTGAATTATTTAGTGCAGTAAAGAACTTTGTTATGAAAAAAATTACTTTAAATTTTTTTAAAGTAACTGTCGAATGATTATAGGTTTAGAAGTTTTTGTTTATTAATATAAATCGATTGAAAGAATTAGCCTTATCAAAATTCAGAAAAGAATTATGGAACTATTAAGCTTATGTTAAAGTTCATAAACGGCACACTAATTTGTTTTGATTTTGCAGGTTCTTTTAAAAAAGGAAGAAGACATCAATGTCCTTTCTGTCATTACTCAACTATTTATAAGTCACACTTAACGAAACATGTGAGGACTCATACTGGTGAAAAACCCTTTCAATGTAATGTCTGCTATAAATGGTTTTCCGTTAAGCAAAATATGGAAATACATAAGATTACTCATTTCAAAGAGAATTTACTGTAACTTGCATTCATTAACAATATTGGTTTTTCCTAAAACTATTAGTTCCTTTTCTTTGCAAGAAATAATTTATTGATTATAAATTTATTGAATTGTTTAAAACGCCACTGAGGGTTTGTTTGTATCTATTATTATGAATTCATGATAATTGTTAAATGTTGTGAATTGCTTAAGCTGTTAAAAAGAAACCTGATATTTTAAAATATTGCATTTGAGGATAATTTTCTGGAAATAAAATTATTTCTTAAAGATCAGTTGTCCCAAAAATGACAGAGCATTTGAAAAACCAATTGCAGAAAAACAAAATTAAATAGAAATTCTGGGTTTGTCATGTTCTGTTTAGATAAAATGAGAATTCATTTTATTTCAACTTTAACTATGAAGTTCATCAACAAATGATGCTGCTAAATGAGAAAAATATAAAGCAAACAAAATATTTTTAATTTTAAAATTGTCATGTTCTGCTTAGAGAAAAAGAAAGTTCTATTTAAAGAAAAAGAAAATTTATTCATTCGAACTTTGTTCATCCGCAAATGGTGATGCCAACTAGAAAAATGTAAAGCAAACAAAATATTTTTAAATTTAAAATTAGCCACCATTTGCAAAAGCAATGTAGAACATAAGAGCTATGCTAGCAAATTTTTCCATTGGAAGTTACGGACATTCAGCAGAAAACTGTTTTAACAGTTATTATCAACCATGTCATCTATTTAAAAAAAAATTGTAAATAATTTTTAAAAAATTGGTGTGATTAAATTTTCCTGTGAAACAAGCAACAAATCATGAATTCTAGTCTCCTATTTGTCTTTAACTGATTTTTCATATTGCTAGTCATGTTTTAGGCACTCTGTGTATTTTATGTGTATTTATTACATATATGTGTATACTTCAATTATAATAATTATTATACTTTTATTATTTAATAATATTCGTTGGTGAGTCTGTTATTAAGTGTTCGAATATTATTTAAATTTTTAAATGCATTTTCGAAATATTTTAATCCACTGTGTGGAACTTCTTTATTAAAAGATTTTGTACCTTTACTAGTAAGTAGTAGTAGATTGTAAATAATTATATGCATTAATAAACAAAACTGCATTTTTCAACGAGCTGTAAACAAAAAAAAAACCTTAAAAAGTAAGAACATTTTCTACTCAGAACCGAGAATTGAGTCAACAGTTAGATTAAAAAATTGTATCTGTAACACAATTTATTTTATCTAACTTACACTAGATACCACCTCTTCAGGATTTTTCTAGGTTCTCCCAGTCTTCTAATTTCAATAAAAACTCTTTTGTTCTTATTTATGTGAAGGTTTTAAAAAATTAAAAACATTATTTTTTCTGTATGTTATCGAAAAAAGTATAACAGATGTCTAAAATAAATTTTTATGTTTATTGTTACTAATACAATATACCATTTACAATATATATTATTGTTATAAATTTAATGTCTGTTGTTACTAATTTAATATATTTACAATAGATTATTGTTATAAATTTTATGTCTAATGTTGCTGTTCTCAAATAATTTAGTCAAATAACTCAATAATCAAATAATTCAATAAATTTAGTAAAATGCAATAAACAAAGAAATTGTATTGTTTTTTTTTTCATTTTATTTCTCTTTTATTATAAAAATTTTCCAATTGTGTAACGCTTTAAAAACATTTCAATAGTTTGTGCAAAACTTCTGTGTATAAAATCTATTGATTTTTTTCCTTTGGTACAATTACAATTATGAAATATGTAACATTTAAAAAAATCAATTTTGCTTTTGTATCAACTCTAACAATAAAATGCTGACACCTTGTACCTTTAGTTTTTTATTATTATTATTTTTCACGAACTGAATGTGGATAGTTATAATATGATATAAGTATAACTGACAAATGTTTCTTAAATACCCTCCTCTAGAGTTTTGGCATCATAACTATATTAAATTTATGTTTAACAGGTTTACTTCTTTTATCAGAAGTAAGTGGTCCATGGTCCCATCTACAAAATATTTTCTAGTTTGAAAAGAAATATTTGGGTTTTAAGATTCTCTTTTTAATGTATTTGCTATTCTAATATTTTGACCGAAGGGAAGGTGATCTAATAATAAAAATGCCCTTATTGACTTAATACGTTTATCAAAATTCGATAAACGTATCAAATTTTGCAGTATTGACAGTAGACTCAGTTTATTACGATAAATGTAATTTTTTCATGGAAAATAGTTCTATATATGTTTATAATTGTGCTATCAGAAAACATCGGTAAAAAAGAATGTTCCTCTTTTGCAAACTAGTTTCTTTTTTAACATGGTAGTGTATCTAAATGATTTAAAAACAATAAAAATAATTTTAATTGTATGGTTTACTGAAATGCGATTGGTGCAAATCTCTATTAAAATTTTTGTTTTATTATTGCAGATTTAAAGAGGAAGGATGGAAACTATCAGTGTCGATTTTGTCTTTATTCAAGGTTTAGAAAATCAGATGTAGTAAGACACATGAGGACTCACACTGGCGAAAAACCGTTTCAATGCAACATTTGTCAGAAAAGCTTTTCTTTAAAGCAAAATATGGAAATGCATAAGCTTACGCATTTTAAACACAATCTCTTATGATTTACATAAATTGTATGTGCTATGTTTTTGCATTATCCATAAAGAATGTTTCCTTTCTTATTTAAACATCCTTTGTTACCTTTGGGATACTGTTGTTGTTACCCACCTGTAATGATAAATATTAAAGAAACTTCAGAATACCTTTTCTTCAGAGCCTGTTGAATACTCAGAAATCTGTGACTGTTAATTTGATAAGATATTAACATTTTTTTTAAAAAAACTATAAAAAGTATTTATTAATAAAAAATATAACTGAAGAAAAGCTGTAGCGATTTTCTTTTCTTTAAACTCTTTTTAAATATTACTTTTAAAGTAAGTTCCAAAATGCTCAGGACATGCTAGTAAATTGTATTTTTTTTAAATATTTTCTACTGGATGTTACATCTTTCGCCCTTAGATCTTGGTGATTCCAAAGCCCATACAGAAGAGAACTAGGGAAATATACTTGCGCATAAAGCAAAGAAATTGTTGCATGCCAACTGCTATCCTTGGAAGATATTACTTTGGAAAAAACTATTTTATCTGCACTTAAACTGATAAAGTATTTCTAACAGAGTACCAGTTCACTATTTTATTATGAATGTGCCATAACTTTAGGTTTTTGCAATTTGATCATCTTTGGAAGACGGTATATTTTTTAGTTTATTTTCTGAAAGAGGGTGCAATTTTCTAAACTGGACAATCTGTATTCAAAGCAAAACAACACTATAGCTTTATTTAAATTATGAAAAATTTAAGCTGATTTCATATTTGTATCTATTTCATAAATTTCTTCAGTTGTTAAATATTGAAATTTAAAAGTTTTGTACTTCACTTAAAAATGTATTATCCTCAGGGGTTTACCTTCTTTAGGTAAACACGGGTCTCACAATCCCGAGGCACCCTAGTGATCTTTCCTTCTCTCTCTTTTTTAGAGAATGAGAATATTCTCTTTTTACTCCTGTGTTCGACACAGTAACATATAATTATTGGGAAAGGTTTTAAATGGACACTAAAGAGCATAACTGAGAAGATAAAAAAAAATATATGTGTTGTAGAAGTTGCGGCCAGTTGAGCTATTTTAAATATTAATTACAGAATAACTAGTAGCTGCACTGAACTAAAATATCTATCAACATGAAATAGCGTAAAGTTTAGTTTTAAAAAAAAAGCACTCAAGCTGCTCATTTAAGATATTTTACAGTCAATGAAAAGTTGCAAAATTGATCAAAAAATTTAATTTTATTACGAAACGAGTTGGAGTCCGCTGTATTCCCTTCATTTTTCTGTATTTTTATTTGAAATTTAAAAGATTAATGCACATTTTATAATTATGAACACATAGCTTCCTATGAGTTCACATGGCAATGTACTAAAATTTTTGTTTCACATTGTGCATACTTAAAAAAAAAATGTATTATGTGATGTTAGAATATAACTATAAGTTTTTATTAAAATTTATATTTTAATGTTGCAGAATTATTGATTAAAGCTGGAAAATATCATTGCCAATATTGCTTCTACTCGAGCTGTCGTAGAGCCGATGTAAAAAGGCATTTGAGAATTCACACTGGAGAAAAACCTTTTCAGTGTTTACTTTGTAATAGAAGTTTTAATCAGAAGTCTGTTCTAAAAACCCATATGGCAACTCACTTGAAAAAAAATTATTTATGACGTTCCTCATATCAAATAATGAAAGCAATATAAGGTATAAATCCAATTTTTTAAATATTTTATTGCATTTTTTATTGTGGACAATGTAGCTAAAACAATCAGTGCAAGAACTGGATGCGAATTTAAATTTAGTCCTTTCCTATGTGATATTAAGAAGAACCGTACTAACCTGTTGACATTGCAAATATTAATTTGTTCTCACCAATGTCTAAATATACCTTGTTATTGTTACAAGCATTTCAAATGTGTAAGTTTTTTCAGAGTTGCTTCATGTTCTGAAAAATGAACTAAAATCAAAAAATTTAATTTATATTACAGCTATTTTATTTATTTATTTTTTTTTTGTATAAAATGTGATTTAATGTGAATGTTAATAATTTTTTTTAATTCATTACTTAACTTTTTTTGAAAATATAATGGTTTAAGGAATATGTATTTATATTTCATTCGTTGTTTGGCATATACTTAATTTTCTGAAATTAATTCATTATTTGAAATATGTTGTAATAATTTGTATTATATACTCCTTTTTATGTGGCAGATAATTTTTTTTTTGAAAAATAATTTTGTATGCACCTTCTATTAATTATTTTTGATTACAAAAACTTTTATGCTCTTTTTGTATAAAATCTGGATACTGCTTTTATATTTTTAGTTTCTAAATCTTTAAATTTTCATTCTAAGCTCAGTGTTTAAAAGTTATTTTGTGGCTTTATATTTATTTAACCCTTTGAATTAGTAATTTAGGTCAAAATAAGTGGGGAAAATTATGTTTAGCATTTTAATAATTCATGGTAATAAAATACATCATTGAACACAGGTATCTTTTTCTGTTTTAAAGGTAAAATCTTCTAAACACAGATCATTTCTAAACAGTAATTTTTTTTTAAATTTGCACTTATTTAGCTCATTGAGAAACAGTTATTCAGCATCGAAGTATTTTTAATTTGCAACATCAATTTTCAATGAATTTCCAATATGATTGATTAAAAGACGTCTAATTATTATTTTTTTTATTATAATTTATATTTTAGTACAATAATTTATATTTAGTAATTTATATTTTAGTACAAATATAATTCCGATAATCTAACAGATTTTTTTTTGCAATGATATTAACATGTATTTCGTAATTAAAAAATACCAAAATATATTTTTGCTTGTAATTAGAACACCAGAAAAAAGATATATAAAAGGCATCTCATCTGCATCACAAGGTTAAAGCATTAATTTGGTTCCCTGAAAAGTTGTATCAGGTTATTAGTTTGAGATTAATTAGACTAAAAAATAGTAAAGACTTGCAGTGTCTAAAAAGTATAAAAATAATTGGTTTTCATCTAACATAAAATTTACTTTATTGCAATGAAACAAAATGGTGGAAAAGCATTTTATTTACTTACAAAGCCAAAATCTTCCCCTAAGTTAACCATATTTTATGGTCTCAAGACTTTTAATTGTATTAACTCTGAAGTGTACGCCTTAAAATACTTTTAAAAACTATTAGCTATGTTCTTCCATGCTGTGTATGTTTAATTATAAGTTTTTGTGTTGGAATACCACTTCAAAATGTTTCAGAACATTTTCTTAAATTAAGTTAAACTTCTCATACTTCTATTTTTCAAGAAAACAGCAAAGTTCATCCACCTGGACTGATTTTATAAAAACTCACACATCCTTAAGTGCCTTGTAAACTTGAAAACAGGGACATGTTCCAACAGTGGGTAAATACAAAAATTAGCTTCCCTGTGATTTGGTGGTTTTCTGCTCTCAAATAAACCAATTAAACAAAATGCCTAAATTGGATGCGTTAGGGATAGCTAATTTTTTGAACAATGAGCTTATACGTGGTTCTTAGCGGTTCTTATTTGCGATTTTCGTTTTTTAAAAGCCCTTAAAGATGCTTTTTTTTTCATTGGGTGTATTTAAAAAATTGCTTAATTTTCCCTTTTCGAAAATGAGATTTTTTTGTTTACCTTGTCAATTTTCGCCACATATCATGCAAAAGTGTGGTTCTCACGTTGTTCTATTCAACACTATCACACTTCATTCAAACACAATTTCATTTCAGCGTACCGTCGATCAAATTTATCATAAAAAGGTAAGAGTCTGCTGCATTCCCTTCATTTTTCTGTATTTTTATGAGAAATTTAAAAGATTAATGCGCATTTTATAATTATGAACACATCGCTTATACTTTCAAGAGTTATTAATCTTTTGCTATTTTCTATTTATGCATTTTTAAGGCTGGTAATAAAAAAAATTACTTTAACTTTAAATTGTGCATTGATTTCAGATAATTTGATTTGTTATTATGGAGCAATTGTTATACATAATTCAAAGTAACAAGTAATAGCCATTAATGGAAGTTCATCAATGTAAGCCTTTTATGATAAAGTGTAGTTTCAAGCTCTGTGTTCAAAATTGTTCTTGTGTTGTTGTTTTTCTTTTTAATTGATTATAATATTACTCATGCATTTAATGCTTTTTATAATGTTACAGTGCTTGAAAAAAAGTATTTTTCAATTCATTCAGAATTTTTACATTGACATTATAAATAGTAAAGATGCACCATTTCTGACAATTTTGATCAAAATCTTTCTAAATTGGTTAACTGTTAGATATTTTTTGCTCAACTCCCTACAGTAACGCCTTCCTATGAGTTAACATGGCAATGTACTAAAATTTTTGTTAAACATTGTGCACATTAAAAAAATTTTTATTTCTTTTGTGTGATGCAAGTATATAACTATAAATTTCTATTTTAATATTTCAGAATTATCAATTAAAGCTGGAAAATATCATTGCCAATTTTGCTCCTACTCGAGCTATCGTAGAGAAGATGTAAAAAGACATTTGAGAATTCACACTGGAGAAAAACCTTTTCAGTGTTTACTTTGTAATAAAAGTTTTAATCAGAAGTCTACTCTAAAAAGACATTTGAGAATTCACACTGGCGAAAAACCTTTTCAGTAATAGAAGTTTTAATCAGAAGTTTATTCTATAAATCCATATGGCAACTCATTTTAAGAAAAATTATGTTTGTGACGTTCCTCATATCATATAATGAAAGAGCTCAGCAATAATAAGGAATATAATAATTTTTTTTCCATCTTTATGCATTTTTTGTTGTGGACAAGGTAGCTAAAACAATCAGTTCAAGAACTGGATGCAGATTTAAGTTTAGTCCTTTCCCATGTGATGTTACGACGAACCATATTAACCTGTTGACATTGCAAATTTCAATTGCTGCTTTCCAATATCTATTTATTCCTTGTTATTGCTACGAGCATTTCAATTGTGTGACTTTTTTAAGAACTACTTCATCATGTTGTGAAAAATAAGCCAAAATTAAAAATTTTATTCTATATTACAGCTATTTTATTTTTTGTATAAAATATGATTTAATATGAGTGTTAATCTTTTTTTTTCATTGAATTTATTACTTAATTTTTATTTTAAATATAATGCTTTAAAGAATATGTATTTATCTTTCATTATTTTTGTGGCGTATACCTAATTTTCTAAAATTAATTCATTTATTTTAAATGTGCTGTAATAATTTGTATTATATATTCTGTTTTATGTGACTGATACCTTTTTTAGGAAAAAATGTTGTATACACCTTCTATTAATTATTGTTTGTTTCAAAATTTGTTATGTTCTTTTTGTATAAAGCCTGAAAACTTTTATATTTTTAATTTCTAAATCTTTAAATTTTCATTCTGAATTCAGTTTTTAAAAATTATTTTGTGACTTTATATTAATTTAACCTTTTGACACAGTAATTTAGGTCAAAATAAGTGAAAAATATTATGTTTAGCGTTTTAATAATTGATGATAATAAAATACAACATTGAACACTGGTGTCTTGTTCTGCATTAAAGGTAAAATCTTCCAAACACAGCTCATTTCCAAACAATAGTTTTTTAAATTTGCACTTATTTAGATCAAAGAGAAACAGTTATTCAGCATTGAAATATCTTTAATTTGCAAAATCAATTTTCGATTAATTTTCAGTATGAGTGATAAATAAATGTCAAATAATTTTTTTTTGAAGTATAATTTATATTTTAGTACAATAATTTATATTTTTGTACAAATATAATTCCGATAATCTAACGGATTTTTTAAAATTATATTGACCCGTATTTCATAATTAAAAAATACCAAAATATATTTTTGCTAATAATTAGAGCACCAGGAAAAAGATATATAAAAGGCATCTCATCTGCATCACAGGGTTAAAGCATTGATTTGATTACCTGAAAAGTTTTGCTGGGTTATTAATTTAAGATTAATTGGACTAAAAAATAGTAAAAACTGTTCATGCTGTCTAAAAAGTATAAAATTAATTGGTTTTTGTCTAACGTTAAATTTAAATTTATTGCAATATTTTTAAATAGTATTTGAGGCTGTTTTTTGATGAAAACTCTTTTTTAATGATATAAAAATGTTGTGTTAGTTTCTTTGAAAATATTGTTTTTGATATCATGCATATTATCATACATATCCTCATATTATAGACTTCTGTTTTCTCTTCTGAAGATTTTGTATTTCAAACATATTTTTTTGGTTACAATGTTTCATGTATTATAAATTTTCTTTTTATTAATTTACATCTTTTACTATCAAAGTATTAGATAAAAAGAAAATATATGATAAAAATATAGAATATGCCCATAACCTCAATAAAGTTTTCTAAAAAAAGTAAATGATTATAATTTCCTACATACTTTCTAAATGTATATATATATAAATTACCAAAATTAAAACCTTTTCTTGTATACTCTTTGAGGCAAAGAAGTCAAGGTGAGGGTTTATTTCATGATTTTGTAGCTCTTTATTATTTGATGTAAGAAATAAATGTATAAAAGCAATTTTTAGAATATGTAATATTTAAAAAAAATATTTTATGTTTCACTTTAATGGCTGAAAGGGGCATTTTTGTTCCCAGCAATATATAGAATAATATAGCTTTTAAAATATGTATTTTTTCAAAATAATGTATAGTTTGATGTAGTTAGAAGAATATTTATGCATACTGATATTTTTTATATTATCTGAACCATTAAATTAATCAAATATTGTACTCTATTTACTTTTTAGTCGCAAAAGAGCATGTTTAATTATAATATAGATAAAAAATTTCACTTATCCAAGTTTCAAATTTTAATTTTTTTTACCTTTAGACTATAAAGAAGTTTATTTCCAAAGCTGTCAAATGAGTAAAAAATATGTGTAGTGGTTTGTTGGACAGAAAATTTGACGTGCACTGTATTTATTTAGATTTATAATGTGTGTAGCTTAAAGTTTTTCTTTTACAATGCAGTGGCAGGCAGAAAAAACAAATAGTGTGTAGGTTTTGTGCGTTTTATTTGAAAATGAAATTATTACCATCAAATAAAACTGTAGGATTAGCATTAATGAGTTTTTTTAGAATTATTAACAATTAAGTACTCTGAAAACTAAAATATACAATTTCAGCAAAACGTAGAACACAGAAATTGAAATGAAAATATTCTAGTTATTGTAAATTCTACAAGACTGAAATCAAATTACATGTTCTTAGATGCATATACACACATGATAAATATTTTAATATTTTGTGGATCCTCCAGGAGCACAGCTTAGCAACAGGCTTTTATTGGAATTATCAAATTCTGGATGTATTGTATCTGTAGGAATTATCAAATTCTTACCGATTTATCTGTATGGCAGGGTTTGAAAAATGCAATTTCTAGCATGTTAAAAATCATTTTTAAAAAAACTGGCTTTAAACATTCCTCCAAAATGTTTATATAAACGGATGTGTTCACAGTTTGTGTAATACAGCTCAATCGTTCAATACCTTTGCTGGATATGCTTCCCCAGACCATTTGACTCACTGAGTACATAACAGCAGGTGATAGGCTATCTGGAAGATGAGCTTCACCTGTCTTGTCTCCTAACCTAACACACTGCTTACCGTCTGATCCATGTAGATTAAATTTGAACTCTTCCAAAGAAATTACTGATTTCCAAAAAAGTTTTTTAAAAAATTCGCCTTTCCATTGTTAATTGTTAAATTCTAGACATTTTAACATCATTGCTAACATTTAAGGGAGCTGGTAGAACAGTTAAAACAATAAAACATGTTTCAATTTTAACACTGAAAATTTTTAAAATGTGCACTGAGCTTTATTTTTCAACTTCATTACACTGTATTTTCTAACATAATTTTCAGAAGATAGTAACATAAGTCAATTAACACTTCTGAAGTCTCTAATGGTCAGAACGTTACAAGTTAAGTCAAGAATTAGGATAAATTTGTACCATTACACAAGAAAATAATCTTTTACAGCTAGCATTTTCACATCTTTCGCACCACTCATATGTTTCTTTGCTAATTGTGAATATTATTTATTAATATTTTTAGTCTGATTGAGCTTTTTTAATCAGTCAAAGTTTAACTTTTCATTGATTCTTGAAGAATGAATTTGGAATGTCAAAATGTTATGTTAAAGCAATTATTAAATTCATTCCATAATGTATGTATAATAATATGCTTAAAATTATTGTGATTTATTGATATTTCTGTTTCTGTGTTTCAGCAGTATTCAAGCAATTTGAAAAATACTCCTGCACATTTTGCCCCTTCTCTGCCTCCAATAAAACAGATTTAACCAGGCACATCAGAATACACACTGGTGAAAAACCATTTCAGTGTTCTTCTTGCACCAGATCTTTCAAACGAAAGTCACATTTGGAACGTCACATGACTGTTCATTATAAGTATCCTCCTCTGTGATGTGTATAAAATGTGAATTTTATTCATAAACTTGCAACAAATGGTTTTGTTTTTCAATTCTTTTATCCTTTGCTGAAATTTAAGCAATTCCTCTGTATGTAAAATACACTGCAAATGAATTGCTTTGTTGCAATTCTTGTTTGCTATTTCAGAATGGAACAAAAATCAGACAATACACCAATGTGCTTTTTGCCCCTACTCTATAGCGAAGAAGCGACTTAACCACACATATCAGAACACATACTGGGGAAAAACGCTTTCACTGTGACATTTGCAACAAACGCTTCATTCAAAAATCTCATTTAGACCGCCATATTATTACTCATTTATAGAATAATTTCTTTTGACTGAAGCTGATTTTAAGATATGTATGTTATAAATGCTTGTGTATAACAGACTAACATTTTTATTTGCAGCTACAACTTAAATTTTGCTGCTTTTAATTTGTTTAATGTAAGTGCTTTCTTTTTAATACTGATTTTATGAATGATGTGCCATATGTAGCTATTACTTTAATCTAATTACTTTTAATCTGTTTACTATGTGTGTTGTGTTATTTATAAGTTTTAGTTTTTTATTTTTAACAAAGAACTATCTGCAAAGCTTGTTAGGTCTCAACTTCAAGTGTTTTGGAAATATTTTTACCATTGTCTTAATATTTATCATAAGTAAACTAATATCTCATGAAAAAAATTTATCAATTTTATTTAAATCCTTTTATGTTTAACTATCAATTTATATTGCTCTTTTAACTTTCATTAAACTTCTTTTTTTTTATTGTGTCATGAGAATTTTATGAATTAATGAAGCAAGATATTTTTCCTTATAAAATTGTACTTAATTTTTGCTTGTGTACTTACATTTAACCTGTATAGCTTATGAAAGATTAATTCTTTCTTTAAATATGGTTTATAAAAAGTTTTAATGTAGCAATTTATTTTTCTATAAAACTCTTTCACATAATTTTTCATGAGTTTATTTATTTTTTATATATATATATATATATCCGTATTACAATTCTGAACTTGTTTTTCTAAATTTTAATTTTTGTTGCAGAGGGAGCTGGGAAAAAAAAATAAAATGCAATTTTGCACTGTTACTCACACATGTAAAAAAAATTTAACAAAAAACTTGAATAAAACACAGAACATGAGTAATGCCTAAACCTAAGTGTGGTTTATCTACAACAGAGGGACCTCTGCATACATCCTTCTTTCTGTTTGCTCATGGGAGTTACTTCAGGGAACAAACAATTTCTAACTGTAGTCGCCTACTTACCATTAGCATTATTGAGGCATGAACTTACTTTGGAACTATTTTATCCTCCAAAAATAATACTACCTTAAAGCTGTATTATTAGGCTATTGTAATATCGTGTGAGAAAGAAAGGATATGCTCAGTGATAAGCGATATTTTCTTTTACTATGGATAAACCATATTAAAGTTTTGTCATTACACGCACAAAGATTGCCGAAAATAAATGTTAGTAAAAGGCTTATTTACTTCACTGATTATGTAAATTACTATAGAGTTTAATATTTAAAACTTTGTTAATTAGATGTACTTTGTTAATAAATTACTTAGACATTCTATTTTTATTATGGACATATTGCTTATTTGTTTTGATTATTTTCTAAAAAAATTTAATTGTATGGTTGCATTAAAATTAAATATATATAGGCTGTTTTTACATTTTCATTCACGATGATTATCTTGATCAATATTATTGTGACGATAAGAATTATTGATCATGCAAATAATGAGTGACTAGTAGAATGAATAAAAATATTTTTTGTTTGTACTGTGAATGTTACAATGTAAATCCAAATGAGTTTTTCTGTTATTTTTATTTTAAGTTTTTATCATTCATTTTAATTATATTACTTGATTAAAGAAACTTCATTTGATTAAAAAAAAACTTCATTTGATTAAAAAATATGCAGGTGGAATTAAAAGCCAGCATGTTTTAAGCACTCAGAAGTTTCAATCGCTTTTTTGAGCTATTAAAACATGTTTGCTTTTGTTTTCACCTGCATATTTTTGAAGCATATAAAGATTTTTAATTAAGTAATATCTTACCGCTTCAGTTTCTTGTGATTATTTATTTAATATTTTAATTATACTTTTCAAGTGATATTTGCAAGGAAGTTGTTAATATAAGATTTGAAGTTGTCATAACGTTTGGAACAATGGATGAAAACAGACTCGAATCTTACTTTCACAAAAGCAAAGAATTAATTATGATTAAAAAATACTACTTTCAAATTGATTTGAATGTAATATGATTGAATTGAATACAAATATGGTCAAAACTGTTTTGTGACTCGGCCACATAAGCCAAGGATTATGATCTGAAACCAAATATTCCATACTATGTAAAAATTTTTATACACCACAGTTGTTACTAAAATCTATGATTTTTTTTTTATTATAATAGTAAGGGAATCATTTTAAAGAATAGCAAATTAATTTACTTTTTATGATTAACAGAAGAAAATTCCAACATCAATTTTTGTTTTGCTTATTGTCATGAAGGGATGCTTTTTTTAGATGGTAAATAATAAATACTTTTCAGTTCATTATTTCATTTAAAAAGGAACCATACAATTGCTTATACTTCATATTGAAATTTGCGTAAGTTTAACGTAGTTTAAATTTGTACATTTTTTTTAATGATCTTTTGTAATGTGTTAAAAAGTTTAATGCCTAATACTAAATGTGCAAAAGTTTCTTTGTTTGAACTCTAGTATTGGAAAATAATTCTTGTTTTCCCAAATTAAACCTGATATAGCAGTAACTTTATGCTTTCGTTTTTCAGCATTTTCTAAGAGAAGTGGAATATATCAATGTACTTTTTGCTCCTACAAAAATATCAACAAAGCACAGCTGGCAATGCACACCAGAGTCCACACTGGGGAAAAACCCTTCAGATGTAACAAATGTGACAAACGCTTTTCACAGAAGTCTAACTTGAAAAGCCATATGCTCACTCATTATAGAAAGCAGTTTTAACTTTTATGTTTTTTCGTTTTATTGTATAATGTTTTATATATTTATAGGTGTTTTTAGTGCCTTTTTTGATATATTTTTACTTTATCAAGTGTTTGTTGTTGTTTTTTTTTACTATATACCTATAGTTTGTCTAAAATAAGAACTCCTCCAGACATTCGTCTGGACCCGTGGCGGTGACTATGGGGTGAAGGGTCTATTGTCTCTTCGGTCTATTGTGTCAGTTCTACAGTGAAGCTACCCTCCTTTAAATGCACCATTCTTGTTTCCATAGCACCAGGCGGTCTCAGACTTTGTGGCGGGAGGAGTTCTTAGATTAGATACACTATACATTGCAGTACTCCAGTGAATTAACTTTAATAAAAAAATTTATACAGATATTTAATTTATATCTAAATGCATTGCTGAGTTACAATGTATTTAAAATAATATTAACGGATAATGATTGATAATTAATGATGAATTGGCAATGGTGTTGAAGGAGTGATAAACATTGCCTATCAACATATTTTAACTCATAATATATGGATGGTTTTGCTTCATTTCTTTTCTTCTTACAATTCATGTGTTTATTAGTGGTCATTTTACAGTACTAATATTATCTTTACAAAATAAAAATTAGCAAAGACTGTATAAAGTTATCATTGTATGCAGGAATAGAATGTCTAGTACCAGTGCTCACAAAACTACACACATCAAACAATAAAGAATGTGAATGCCAGAATGGCAATTTCAATACAAATAAGAACACTACATTCCTTATTTCAAAAATAATATGTAAATTATTTCAGAGAATATTCACTAGGAATTTATTCATAGTAAATTAATAATTTATCAGAGCTCGTACTTTCATTTGTCTGATAATAACATCAGCTTTCCATAAATATTGCTTAACAAAAAAAAAACTATAATTTCGCAGTGACTTACTAAGTATAGGTACATGGAATTTGGTTCTAGGATTTGTTTGTGCTTTTTTTTTTATAGAAAACACCATCTGCAAAACTAGACTAGATGGTATATTCATATGCAAAATCTGGTCCTAGACTCAAAGTAAATTCCTTTTTGCACCATTGCCAATTTAAACAAAAATATTTATTTTTTAATATAAATGCTTAAAAAAATTATTTTCTAATGTTACTGTTCATAAGAGTTATTAAATAGATTTTTGTTGCTAGAAAATCATTTAGTTTGGTAAACTAGTATAAAAAAAATTAACTCATAATAGTGTGCAATTGTTTGTAAATGTGTGTACCTGAACATAAAGTATTGTATATTTTATTAATAGTGTATGATAAAGTTTGCTAAAAAAATGTGACAATTTAAGCACATTATTGTCTAGGTTTGTGTAACTATGATAAGACATACGAATTTGTGTATTGAATTATTTATAGCTTGTATATATCAAATGTTAATCAAAAGAGGATTTTTGAAATGAATATATCCTGAAGCATTCAGGATGTAATTAAAAAATTTTTATGTTTTAAAATAAAGATTTGCTTTTGATTTTTTTAATGATATTCATGTTTTATATAACACTCAGATTCAAATTAAAGAATTGCTAAAATTACTTATGTAACTTTCTACATTGTTTATACATTTTTATACTGCTGCATTAGTAATCAAGTACGACAAGAGGTGTATATGTGCTAAAAATTTCTAACAATATACCAAAATATTATTATGAAGTCTGGAAAAGTTAAAATGTTTTAAAGAGTTCAGAAATTCAAATTTATGTTTTTTAAGATTTTCTCTTTTTAAAATACAACATATAAAAATCAAGAGTTAGTATATATTATATTGTTATGAGCGTTAAAATGTTTCAGCTTCTCTCTAAAAGTCTCTTTTCAATCATGCTCCATGACAAACACTAAAAGAAATTCAGATTTCAAAATTATTTTTTATAAGTAGGAATTTTCATATACTAAAACATTACTTTTTATGCTTGCTTATACGAAGTCTTAAAAAAAAATTATGCTATATTATTTTTTTTAATGTTCATGCATACCATTTATTGATAGTTAAAGTACAAATTTACTACATCTTATTCTTTATTTTTTAGTGTTCTCCAAGAAAAGTGGAGTGTACCAATGCACATTTTGCCATTATTCGAATTTTGATAAAGCTCAGTTGACCAAACACATCAGAGTTCACACCGGTGAAAAACCCTTCCAGTGTCCCAATTGTAACAAGTGCTTTACACAGAAGTCTAATTTGAAAAGTCATATGCTGACCCATTATAAAAAGTACATGTTGTAATGCGTAAATAGCACAGTGTCGGATAGCCAGGCCATCACTCAGTCAACAAAAATGCTTTTTGTTTACATTAATTCCACCAGTCATGTACTTTTCAGTTCATTACCAAAGATTTTTTAAAATATTTGTTTTAGTTTTAAAAGAATTCTCATGTAAGATGTATTATAGTTTGTCTAAAATGAGAACTCCCTCACACATTCGTCTGGACCTGTTGCCGGGTAACGAGGTATGACTATTTCAAGTTGGGGTGCGGGATCACTGTTTTGGAGTAGTTTCGGCGAGGGAAAGGGAACCTCTTTCTTCGGTCTTTTGTGTTAGTTCAAGAGTGAAGTTACCCTTCCTAAAATTCGCCATTCTTGTTTCCATAGCACCAGACGGCCTCAGACTTCGTGGCGGGAGGAATTCTTATCTTAGACAAACTATAGATTAACTCTTGTTTAATGTTTTTGCTTTAGGATCACTGAAATAAGTTCCTTATTAGTGTTGTGAAAATTAAATTTTAGTTGAATTAACCTAGGGCATGAATTTTCTTTTCAAAATGCACCAGCCAATTTTTGTTCCTCGCAATTTTGAAAACGAAAAAGTTCTGAACAATTTTTTTTTAATATTATCAGATCTAGTGTAGAGATATTTTTTGTGACTGAAAAGACAGTAAAAATTTGAATATCAAAAATATTTTTGTTTAAAGATTTCAGTGGCTCCCTAAGTAGTTTTTAGGTTAGAACTTAAAATTCATTGTTTATTTAGAAGACATGCACAGTTACTTGATTTCAAATTACTTCCTGGTGAGAAAAAAGATCTAAAGTCCAGATTTTTGGTCTCTTAATGGCATATAAATTTTTTTTGCAGACAAATTCATTTATTAATTAGGTAGTGAAATGCCAAGTTATTATGATACTTTAATAAACTTAATTATTTTCTTACAATTTCTTAATCTGTTTAATTCAATATATTGAAGGTATATGATCAATATTTTTATTTAAAAAAAAAACACTATTGAATGTAAATCAAGTGTTTCATTTTACAGTCTAACATCACTAAAGAAAAATTATCCAATTTAATTCCAAAAAATATTGCCACACAACTGTGTAAAACAGATGTGCATCCCTGTAATAATTTTAAAGTTGAAACTAATACATTTATATCGATATCCTTATTTTTCTAATAAAACTTAAAATTTTACTTCCAAACCCATTATAGCTTACTGTGGTTATTTATAAAGGAACTATTTTTAATCCTGCATTTGCTAATTTTGTAAGAATATTTTTATGTTTGATGTATTTTTTCCCTTTTTACTAATGCATTTTGTTCTTCATGAAACGTTTGACTTGGAAATACATTGATTACTCTAAAACTTGAAAATGTTCTTTTCATCAATTTTGCTTTCTATAATAATTCTCATGGGCTTATATTTAAATAAAATTTTATTTAATTCTAATTAAAATGTTTTTATTCATTACCTATTANATTTTTTTTTTTTTTTTTTTTTTTTTAAAAAATTAAGCTTGTTTTCATAACATTTACTGGTGTAAAATTCAGTGTTAGAATATAAATATGTAACAAATTTTATAAAAATGGTTAGGATGCAGTTTTTTTTTTACCTTTGTATCCTCATAGCAAAAGATGCATATTTTATTTATATTTTTTTGTGAATTAGTGAGCAATTTATGTTATAATATATCATATTGTGATGAATAAAATATATAGTTTTCATTTAAGTAAGTACATCTCATTAATTTACTTTTATTTTGGAAAAACTTTCTTCCTTATGCAATAATTACATTACAATTATACATGTTATAATACTAATAGTTTGACAGTAGATTAAGGTGACCTATCGTCCAAACATCTTTTTGATTTTGCATATTTGCATTGTACATGAAGCCCTCGTATGAAGCACATGCTTGTCATATGAAGATCGTCACACTAGAGTGCCTAAACATAATGCCTTTCTTTTTTCATCTTTTTAACCAACTTAATAATTTGCCAATTTTTGATAAAATTTTTGTTTTTTCTTTTCGGAATATGAATTTTTGATACCCAATGTGCATAAATTTTTTACTTAATATTTAACTAAGGTTCTTAGAATATATATATAAAAGGCAGTTAATTCCAAACATCTTGTGTAAGTTTTCTACTCTATTTTGGGCTTTTTAATAATTTGATGCATTTTTGTAGAAAAAGAGTAAAAAAAAACTTTATCACTCCTTTCCTTCAAAATGAAGGTATAAAGTATCTATTAAGGTTTAAAGTATATAAGGTATCTATTATTCCAGTTAATTCAGCATGTCTAGTGTCAATAATAGTTCAGCAAGTTTTTTTGGGCTTTCCCAAAACAGAGTACTAGTACTTGTTTTATGTTTGCGTGTACCTAAATATTTGATATTTGATTCCCCGCCTAAACTTGCAGTTTGTCCATCCAATTAACCATAAAAATAAAAAAATCCTTTTTTATCTTTACAGTTTAGAAACTGTTTACAACTAATATCGTTAAGAAGCCGTATAGTTTTATATTTATGGTTTTTTAACCACTTATTATTAGCATAGTTTTAAAAAACCGTGGGGAAAAAAGTAACTTATCTATGCATTGGAGATAGGCTATTCGTTGGGCATTGTTGTATTTTATCTAATGAACTGTGGATGTGGTTTAATTAGTTATCAAACTGTTTCACCCATTGTAAGAGATGGGAAATATGAGACTTTTTTGTATTAAGCAGCTTCATGATGCTGATGTCCATGCCTGAATGAGAGTATTGTATTCTAATAGTTCATAATTATAAAACAACATGTCCTGCCTGAACAAACTACATCTTTCTCATCAATCATTAAAATAGCTGAAGAATTTTATAAATTTTTCCGTTTATTTTTCACGTCTTAGTGATTTTACACATGTATGCATTTAGTTGTGCAATTTATACATTTTATGTTGTTATTAGCATGATTTTGCTCTTAGCTTTATATGTGCATTTTCTTCTGTGATTTTTTAATTGAATTTGACGCAACGTGTCCTGCGGGGATTTTGACCTTTGTCTGAATGGCTTTAATAACAAGAGAATATTTATTTTATTACTGCTTAATTTACTTTGTTATATTTATGCATGTAAAAAGCTTTATCTCGATTTCTTTTTTCTATTTTAGAATGGCTCATCATTTATTTTATTACTGTTTAATTTACTTTGTTATGTCTATGCATGTAGAAAGCTTTATCTCGATTTCTTTTTGCTATTTTAGAATGCCTCATCATTTATTTTGTTACTGTTTAATTTACTTTGTTATGTTTATGCATGTAAAAAGCTTTATTTCGATTTCTTTTTGCTATTTTACAATGCCTCATCATTTATTTTATTACTGTTTAATTTAATTTGTTATGTTTATGCATGTATAAAGCTTTATTTTGATTTCTTTTTGCTATTTTAGAATGCCTCATCATTTATTTTATTACTGTTTAATTTACTTTATTATGTTTATGCATGCAAAAAGCTTTATTTCGATTTCTTATTGTTATTTTAGAATGGCTCATCGCTTGTGGAATATTACACCAATGCACTGTTTGCAGCTACAGAACATATAGCAAGTCGTGTTTAAACAAGCACATCAGAAAGCACACAGGAGAAAAACCTTTTGAGTGTAACACTTGTAAAACACGTTTCACTACTAAGCAGAGTTTGCAGCGTCATATTAAAAGGAATGTATGCTGGTCGGGTGATCCTAATAAATAATAAACTCATTTAAAGAATTATAATGCTCATTTAGTTTTACTGAATGTCACAACATTTGTAAAAAATAATTTTGAAAAATTTTTTTGTCTTTGCTGCTGTTTATTTTCAATTAAAATAATGGAAAAATATTGTTTCTTTTTCTTCAGATTTGATTTTATTTTATTGCATTTATTATTGTTTTGAAACTTTTTACAAAGATATTTTCAAGTGATAGCAGAGTTTACCTTTTACTATTCAATTACTGGATTGTTAAGTAATTAAACTTTTAATCCAAGCAACAAGTAATAAATGGGAACCTATGTATGCATGTTGGGTGTTTTTATTCACTGCCTTTAATATGTGTTCTTTTACAATCCTTGTCAAAAAAGGATCTATAGTATGCAAGAAAAATAATGAACCACCCTTACTAAGTTTTGATTTAATATTTCTATCTTAATGTTCTAAGACTCAATCTTAATGGTTCAAGGTGGAGGTAGAGGATATTTTAAGTTATGATATCAGACACAAAAACGCTCTGAATAAACATGCGTTTTTTGACGGCTTCGAGTTTCTGATTCTTGAAATATAGGCTGTAGACACAATCTCAGAAATTTGTCCGAAGTTTGAACCCCTTGATGTTAATGTTAATGCTTCCCTTGGGGTTAATTTTACTTTTTGTGTATTTCATCATATCTCAAGAACTAAGCGAACGGAAAACTTTTTGCATACAATCATAAGATTCGTTTATCCAAAAACAGTTTTATGCATATAATAATTTTTAATACCTAATCATTTATTATTTTTTAGTTTTTTATTTAAAAATAGTCAAAAGCAATTTTGAATTGTAAGATTTGTTAATTTTTATAAAATTTTAAAGAATGTAATTTTATAAGGCAAAATGCAAAATTGGTTGAGTAGTTCTTGAGAAATTGAATTTTACTTATATGATTTCTTTGAAATTGTATTTCTCTGGATCTATTTGGCCAATTCTATTCAAATTTTGTATTTTGCTTTATGAAATTTCTTTTTTTAAATAATGTTGAAATTGGAATAACTATGATTCAAATTGTTTCATCTATTAAATAAAAAAAATATCTGATTATTAAAAATTATTTTTTGCATAGAATTCTTTTCTTAGATTCTTTTTTTGCATAGAAGTCTTTAGATAAACAAATTTTATAATTGTGAGCAATGATAACATGCTTTTATTTCATAGGTATTAAAACTATTGAATTATTTTGAAGCTTATTATTTATAAATAACAAAATTCCTTTTTTTTGCATTAAGTCATTTATCATTTGTGTTCAAAATCATTCATTTGTTGTTCATTATGTTGTATCTTCAAGTGTTGTGACTGAAAAAAGAAACAAAGGAAGTCTTTAAGTAGTTTGCAAATCAAATCATCTCTTCATGAATAACTAAACATTTTGAGTGCCTAAATTTTATTAACAGTTTTTCTGCATAGAAGTTGATCCCCAAGTTTTCATTTCAAAATAGGAATTGCATTTAGTGTACAAATTTACCCTTGAATTTATATTTGTTGAAAACAATTATGATGATACTGCTTGTCATAATCATTTTAAATTTCTGAAGTCATTAGTACCAATTCAAAAGATTCATTCCAAAAATACTTAATTTTTTTTGTATATTAAAGTTTCGATTGTAAAATTGTATTATTTTTCCTGTGTTTGTATTTTTCTAGATAAATGTCTAGATAAATTTTAAGCTAACGATCATTCCTTTTGTTTCACGAAAAAAAAAGTTGACATGAGAGTATTCATATTATTGGTATGGTAGTCAACCCTGATTCTTTAGTTGAAATTTATGTCTCTTTAAGTCGACTTATACAGTGAAAAATGCAGTAGTCTTCTGGTATTCACATGTTTAGATACTCATATTTTGACCAGCAGACTCCTATGCATTTCTAAATTAATTTTTCCTTGTGTAATTTTTTTTTGAGCGGCGGAAGGTTAAACTAAATTGTAAAAGTAATCTTATCATGTATTTTTATTTTTCAGTTTTCTCCAGGAAAAATGGAATATATCAATGTACTCTTTGCCAATACTCAAATATTAATAAAGCAAAGTTGACAATGCACGCCAGAGTTCACACTGGTGAGAAACCCTTCCAGTGTACTTATTGTAACAAGCGCTTTTCCATAAAGGGTAATTTGAAAAGTCACATGCTTGTTCATTATAGGACCCCTATTTTGTAATATGTAGAAATAGTAAGTATTGTAATCTGATTTTACTCTGATACTCTTTATTTGTATATGCCTCAGAAATGTTACAAACGTTAAGAAGAGGTAAGGCATATCACGAGAGTAGGAAATAGCATAGCAATTCATGACCTTTAATGCCATTAGATAGTGTTCTGCATCTCCATGTTGTAATGCACCTAGCATGCGCTGTACTATACTCTGCATGGGTGCTTCTGTTGTTGTTTCTAATGACACTTGCCGATACCATCAAGACTGCTTGATGAAACGAGGCAAATTTAAGGGAGAGAGTGCGTTTCTTGTTTTACAGTGGCGCCATCTATGACCAAGAATACAACTTCAGCCACAACCTATTTATAGGACGGTCCCATTCATGCATTCATCCACAGATCGTAATTTTGACCTGAACCAGAGTACTATCAATCTTAAATTCAGTACCCCCAGAGATGATTTGTTATGAGAACAAGGAGGATTTAGTGACCGGGCAAATTTAAGTGTGCACAAGTCACCATTTACTACGCAGGGAGTCTTCTGCCGACGGGGATTGAACTCACGATCTGTTGGACACGGGCTCAATGCCGTACCAATCAGGCTATCCCGTCCCATGAGTGCTTCTAATTGACCCTATGATTAGAAGCACGCATTGTGCCTCAATTTCTGATTCATTGTGCTTCAAATTCTTGCTGCAGTTTGCTATAATGTATCGTGAGCCTCTGGAATTGGCAATAGGTCATGTGGTTTTAATCTCTGATACAATTAAAGAATCTCCTAATATGTAATCATGTCTGGCAAGCAAGCCTCACTGCTGCCATAATGTCTGATGATGTAAATGTTGAACATTTGTTGTGGCATTATGAACTGTGTTCATGCAGTACAACATTTGTACACATGATATTCAATAAAGGTTTTAAATTAACCACTCTCTTGTGTCATTTTAGCTTTGCTACAACTTTTTTCTGGCATTTTTGATGATGTATCCTACCTCTCCAAAGAGTGTGTTGTGACATTTTTGAAACAAATGTATCAGTGTTCATTAATATTGTTTTTAAAACTTGCTAAGTATAAGATTCTTAACATGTATTATAAATCAGTTGTACTTTCAAAGCTTCTATGTACAGTAGGGAACCGATTATCCAGAACGGTCGGGACTATCGCTATTCCGGATAACTGATTTTTCCGGTTTTCTGAATAGCTACGAAAAGCAGTTTTTTTTTATTGTTAAACCCAACTAAAAAAATATAAAAAATTGGAAATAATCTTAAAAATAAAAATACACTAATAAAAATAAAAACACACTAATGATTATTTCAAAAATGATAGTAAGGTAAACATCTTTAAAAAAAGAAAGAAAAATCGTAAATTCTTACGAGGAAGAAAATTTTTTTTTTAAAAAAATGGCAAGAAAATTTATTGAATTTTGTTCCGGTTTTCTGATTTCCGGATAACGGGTTCTGTACTGTATTTAAAAAAGTTTAATATTACAAATATGTGTTTATTGTTACAAATTTATGTTAATTTTTATGAATTTTGCAAAATGCTTGATTCATTCATACCATGTAAAATTATCTTCTGAAAGTACATAAAGTTTAAATAAGGAATAAAGTGGTTAAAAGTATTTATTATTGTATTTAATTTTTATCTGAACTATGTTTAAAAATACATAGTTTTAATTTTCAGAGAAAATGCATAAATTAATTTGTAGTTTATAGTTAATTCAAGTAATGGTTTGTTTCAAAGAGCCAGTTCTATCGATGCTAGGGAGTTTTATAAGACAGTGAAACCTCGGCAGCGACCACTCTCTGTTCCACACTAAAATGGCTGTTCTTTGGGGTTACCTCTATTGACTTCAAAAGTAATCGAAGGTACATGATTTTTCGCTAACGATCTTAGTTTTAGTTAATGCAATTTTCTTATTGTGTAAATACCACTTGTGTTGGGTTTATGATAACCGTATCGATGAATAAAATTTAGCGCCAATAAAGGTGATCCCTACTGATAAAATTATGATTAAAAACAAATTTAACATTTTTAAATAGTAATAGTAAAATTTTAAATGAATGAGCAATTATGTTTTTTGTTTAAGTTTGCATTTAATTTTATATCATAAAATTAGTTAGCTTTAAAAAATGAGAAGAGGTTTGCTTGTTTAAGATGCTTCCTTTTTTTCTAATTTAACTTTCAACTCTAGAAGTAAATCATTGATAGCATCCTCTTTAGTGTACTTTGACTGCAACATGAGATTGTATCGTCAACTAGAGCTCTCTAAATAATAGCTACTCACAAATATTTTTTTACCTATATATTTAAATCGATTTCTTTGTTTTGTTAATATTTTTTTGTGTTTCCTTATTTGACCTTTCCCGCATTTGGCGCAGAGGTTTGCTCGGTCGCTGGAAGATCTCTGCTGTGGCGTAACTACCACTACAAAAGTTTAACATCATTCACTAGTATATAAAGCATGCTAACTTGATTCTATCACGAGGTACCTTTTGATAGATGACGGTTGGCATGGTCGATAACTCCGCCCCCCACATTGGTGACCTACGACGTGATTTGATTACGCAAGTAACGCCTACTTCGATGAATAGTTCACATTGAACAGTTGACTTGCTATTTGTGAATGCATCATTCACCTCCTGCGCTGTTGCTTCTCAGTCTCGTCTCGAACATTCACACAACGTCTACACTCTCAACGCCTGCATACTCTCGACTGCTAATGGCAACACAGGAGCGACTTCGANAAAAAATTTAGAGCTTCCCAAAAGTGGTCATTAATAGAGGTGGTCTTTCCGGAGATTTCACTGTAATAATGAAAAATCTTTTATATGAACAAGGAAATAATAGACATAAGTTGGATTATCAATTAAACGTTATACTTGATAAACTTTACTTTGGATTTTCAATTTTTACAACATTATGAATTGTGTTCATGTAGTACAGCATTTGAACGCATGGTGTTCAATAAATGGTTATGTTCCTTTCATGTTCAAATTTCTTTAACAATGAGTTGAGGTCGCATAGAAGGTAATTCCCTAGAGCACATTTCTAAAAATTTCTGTAAATCACTCGGGTTTCAAAATTAAAGCTGTTTTGCAGTGAAGAAAAATATCATTTTCATATTTGATGAAAATGCATCTGAGCAAACATAATTATTTTCTTTTAATTTTGATTATGTCAAATTTTAAAACTCCATTTTAAAACTGTAATAAAAAAAAAGTTTTCATTATAAGCTTAATTGCTGTTTTTATTTACTTTTCCAGAATGGCACAAGGAATATGGAATATATCAGTGTACATTTTGCAACTACTCTACAGTATTGAAGACACATTTAACAAGACATATCAGAACACACACGGGTGAAAAACCCTACCAATGTGACACCTGTAAAAAACGTTTTAATCAAAAGTGTCATTTAGATCGTCATAAAATTACACATATGCAGAAAAAGTACTTTTGACCTTTATAAAAATGAATTGTTTTTTTGGTGAATCTGTTTTTTAAAAGTTGTTTTGTCAAATATTGCACTGTGGTGTATGCATATATATACACAGAAAAATAATAAAAAAATTTGGATGAAATTATTTTTTATTTATATAAAAATTATTTTTTTCTTTATTTATATTCTAATTATAAAATAGGTTATTTAATCTGAGTAAGAATTTTTAAAGTGATATCTTGTTCTCTTATAAAAGATAAGGTAATATAAAATACTTTATAACGTTATTATTTTGTATATTAAAATGTAGACGTGACAAAATTTTGTTTAGATTGGAGCTGTGAAATACAATGAACGTTTAGATTCAGAAACCTATTAACATTGGCTTTTATGATACATGACTTTTACCTACCTAATACATGACTTTAATTAAATAAGTCAGAAAGAATAGACTGGTTGAAAAAAATAAAATCATTAAAAATTTTTCTTCATGACATTTTATTCCCTATAAAACACAGAAGATAGTTTTCTTAAGCCTAAATTGATTTGTATTTCTATAGCTAAAACTGTGCTTATTTTTATTCTATCAGCTATGTTGAAAAAATTTTTTATTATCTTGTTTATGCTCCCTGTCTTTTAATTATGAAAAAATTCTTGTTTTTCAAGAAACTCGAAAAATTTATTGAAAAATCTATTTAAGTAATGAATATTTTATTTTATGTTCATTATTACTTACATTATATTGTTTAACATTTATTCGGTTCAGTCCAGTTTTAGCTATATATTAGCTTCTATAGAAATGTTTACACAGTACTTACTATTAACGATATTTTACAGTAAAATGTATTCACTGTACAGAGTAGGACAGTCGTTTACTGATAGTTTTTGATGTTAGGAACACACTGGTAATGAGGATAAAGGATAATAAATAGTATAAGTCAATTTAATTTCTGTTATAATGATGAACATCAGCTTATGAGTGTGGATATGTGTAGGGGCCTGACTCAAATTATCTCTCGTTTTTTATTATATTTGCATATGAAAAAAAAAATTATATATATTTTTTTTTTAATCTGAAAATTGTGATTGATTAATTTTCAGAAGTCTGAAAAAATTTTTGTTAATTAAAAGTTTAATTCTGCAGGTAAAAAGATAACAAGAAGTATATAATTTTATAAACAATTATTTGGACAAATAGTTTTAATCATTTGAATTATTACTTAAATAATTATTGAAAAGTTGTAATTTTTATAAAACATTCAAATTTAATATTAATTTTTTCTAACATTTTGTGAAAATTTTAAAAAAAGTATTAATTTGAGCTTTAAAATAAGAAGCTTGAGTTGAACATTTCAGCTACTAACTCAACTAAAATATTCCTTTTTTTAATAATCCATAAAATGTAATTAAAGCATATTTGGGTTCCTAAAGATTATTCAGAAGACAGATTGGATCTAAAATTGTATCTCTTATGGAGATGTTTTCTATAAATATTTCTATGGAAATTTATTTAAATACTTTTCTTTATAATAATATATTGAAATATTTTTTACAATATTATTTAAATACAATTTTTTGCAACATTATGTAGGGAAGAGTGGGGTAAACCAGGTTGGAGGGAAAGCTAGGTACCTTGATTTTAATTAAATTAATTCTGTTTTCTAGCAAAACTCTGAATTATACTTTACTAATCATGAATAAAGACCTAAGACCTACTGTATGGACTTGTTGTTGATTAATTCCCGACATCCAGGTAGATAAGTTTGTTTTTATGTATCCCACGTAAGCTGCAGTACAGTGGAGGATGAAGCTAGCTACATCCAAGCCTGAACAAATTTTTTACGGGTCTCGGAACAAAATTTATTGAGGGCCTCATCCTCAAAGCACAAAAAGCCTTATTTTCATATTTCCTGGAATGTTTGAAGAAACTTTATACAAAATTGTAGATTTTATATAAATATAAAGAAATTCTGTGCCATTTTCTTTTGATAAATTACGAGACACTATAGATTTTGTAAAATATTTTAGTCAGACCCTCAACTGTCCCGAGCCCCAGAACAATCGTCTCTATTTCCCTCCCTTCCCTTGAGTATGACCTTGACTGTATCGCATGTAAATTTCATGCATAATTTTATTAAATTGTCATATAAGAGAGAAATGTCTGCTACTTTTTCTCTGAAATTCTAATATGCCTACATTTTCCACAGAGAAAACATGCGTACCTTGTTTTACCCCACTTGTGGGCCTAAACTGGGTGTTTAACTTTTTCTTGAAAAATATCATTTATAAAAAAGTAGCATATCTATGGCTATTTGAGAATGAGATATTGTAAACAACTAAACAATCAATATCTTTGTTAAAGCAGACAGTTTCTAGCTCAAACTGTTTAACTGGCCTATGAACCTTACCCTATCTTCACCAAAATAATATTTTTCCAATATTTAATTAAATAAAAAATTTTGCAATCTTACGTAAATATTATTTTTTGCAATATTATATTAATAATATTTTTTTATTGTATGTGTATCACTGATAACGAATTACATTTTAAATATTGCTGATTATTGTTACAAAATCTTTCTTATTTTATTCCTTCTTCCTTGTCTTGTTTTATTATTTTGAATGTTAATTTGATAAAATATACCATTTTTTCTAAGAATTTTTTATGACATGTATTTATCACAAATTATTTAAAATGCATGTTTATTAGATATATCCAGAATTTTGGTTTATAATTTGTATTGTAAAAAATGTTTTAGAATAAAGATTTACTTTTATTTCTGATTTCATTTTTTATAAAATTGTATTTTGAACTCAAAGAATGCTGAAAAATATAAATAATATCATTTATATGTTTGAAATTATGTTAATTTTGATGATGAAATTCAAACCTATTGAAGCTTTATTAAATTTGTAGTAACTATTTTTTAAAACAGAAGTTGTTTTTTCAAGATTTATTCATTTATTTTGTTACATAAATTAATGTCGTTTTTTTGGGGGGGGGGGCATAAATGTTTTTTTCTTCTTTGTTGCATAATAAAAGCATTTTTTCTTTTTGTTGCGTAAATTAATTTCCTGCCTCTTTTTTTACAAAGTCTTTGTTTGAATTCTTAGCTTTGAACAACAAATGTGATATACTTGAAATTATCTGTAAAAGTATTATTTTATGATAGATATTATGCGTTTCTTTTACAGCTTTCTTCAAGCAAAATGGACTATATCAATGTATTTATTGTCATTACTCAAGTAAGGATAAAACCAAATCGACCGTACATGCCAGAGTTCACACTGGCGAAAAACCCTTCCAGTGTGCCCATTGTAACAAGCGCTTTTCACGTAAGGATAAGTTGAAAATGCATATGCTCACCCATTATAACAACACTATTATGTAATATGTAATAATTAGTAAGTATTAGTTAATAAATTATCCCATTTTTCTGTGAATCTTTTCTTTTTTGAAACTTTTAATCAAATGACTTCATAAATAAATGTTTCATTTAAATAAAAGTTTATATAGTAGTTTCTCTTTCTATCGTTTAACTGTAACTTCTATGTTGAGACATTTTATAACAATCATGAAAATTTTTCACCTGTACAAGGAAATTATGGGCATTATATGGAATTTTTTTAACAAACGTTTTTAAGTGTAGAACTATGTTGAGATTACTAGAAACATACTTTCACGAGTACATTTCTAAGTTATTTTTTAGAATTATGCTAGTTTTGAACAAGATTTTGATCTTGGGAGTAAAGAGAAATACCATTTTTAATATTTGATTAAAATGCAACTTAGCAAACAATGTATTTTATTTTCTATTTTCAATTATTAACTACCTGATATTCTAAGCATGATAGAGTGAAACCTTTCAGGAGTGGCCATTGTCCATTCTGCAGTAAAATGGTCGTTCTTAGAGGTTACCTCCATTGATTTCAAAATTGTTATCAAATGTAATTGTAATTTTAGTCAGTGTCATATTCTCAGTACAGAAATGCCACTTCTGTTGGCTTCTTGAAAAGGCAGATCTATGAATAAAATTTAACGTCCATAAAAATTATCTTTTCTGATATAATTTTGTGTTAAACAAATTTATCAATTATAAATAATGAAGCTATTTTCAATAGATAAATAATTCTGTTTTTTGTGCAAGTTTGCATTTAATTTTATATCATAAAAATTGAAGCTTTGTTTGTTTGAGATGATTGTTCTTTCTAAAATAACTTTTTTTTTCTAATTTAACTCTCAACTCTTAAAGTAAATCATTGATAGCATCGTCTTTAGTGCACTTTGACTGTAACATGGCTTTGTTTCGTCAAATTGAGCTCTCTAAATAAGAGCCACTCACAAATATTTTGAATATATTTTAATCTACTTATTTGTTTTGTTAAATTTTTTGTTTTTATATTTTTCTGTGTTTCCTTATTTGTCATTTTCCACATGTCATGCAGATGTGTGCCCGTTCACTGGGAGAGATTTTAATGGTCTCTCCTAACGGTTTTCTTTAACGCAATATGGAAAATATTTCCATCGAAAGTTATCGTAAATAGAGGTGGTCTTTCTTGGAAGTTTCACTGTACTTTATGTGTAATAATTTTTTAAACATGTATGCTTAGTTGTTTTTACTATTTCAGAATGTTGCAAGGGATGTGAAATACATCAATGTTTAGTTTTCAACTGCTATGCAATATTGAAGATATGTTTAATGAGGCACATCCCAACACACATTGGGGAAGAAAACTTTACCAGCGTGATACTTCTAAAAAAATTTTTAATCAAAAATGTCATATATTCTAGTTCTTTGTATTCTAGGTTTTTTTAATAGTTTAATGTGTTTTTCAATGTTAGTTTTTGTATTCTAAATATTTCTTATCTTGTTTCATGCAAGCAAAAATTCAAATTTCTGAAATTGTATTCTAATTTTTCATAAGATGGTTTGTTAATTAATATTTATTTATTAATTAATTTGCTGATTAATATGTCCTTTGTCAATGAAAAAGTTAACTTAAGTTGAGAGATACTAGGGACATAAGTGTGCATTAAAATTGTAATATTTTTAAGTTTCGTTGTTAGAATAAAAGTAAACCTTTAAATATTGATTTTAATTTTATTCCCACTATTTTTATTTTAATAATAACATAGTGCTGTTTAACTTGTATTCATATCTGTGGTTGTTTTATTCCTTGAGAAATTATGTTGGTTTATTTAAGCCTAAATTGACATTTATATCTCTTTCTATTTAAACTGTGCTTTATTTTCAAGCAATCTGTTGTCTTAAAATATAGATAAATAAAATATAAGTGTTTTATTTATGTTGTTGTTCCACGTGTTTAATAAATATTGAAAAAATTCCCATTTAATTCAAAAAAGTCAAGTGTATTATTTACATTTTATTGTCTGGCAGTTCTGTCCAGTTTCTGTAACATGTTGACTTCAACATTAAACACCTTTAATATGCTATGATTTACTACATGAAAGTTTTCTTAGTATGTTGTAGGATATTTTTTCAATGATAATTTTTGACGTTAAGAACATATTATTCAGCTCACAAGTAAAAGCAAAAATATTGTATTTAAATTCATTTTGAAATGTACAACAAATTGTCTTTTGTTTAGAAATATTGATGTTCAAACACAATGCACATAAGATGAAGATTAGCTCTAGCTAAATCTGTTTTTCAAGAAAAAAAAACATAATAAGTATTTAAATGGCAGAGCAATACATAAAATTTCAGCATTTGAAAGTGCTTTTAATATATTTCTTTGAAATATTCTTTGTGTTTATTTTATAAAGTCTTATTTTGTATAGAGCAACATATAAAATATTCTTTAAAAAAGTTTTTCTCTTGCTTTTTCTGTATTATTTTGAAAGATGCTTTGATAATATATACCACTCTTTTAACGGAATTATTAAAGCCTTGATTACGAGTGATATTTAATTACGTGTTTTTTAGATGTATATGAAATTTTGTTAATGTGTTATAATTATAAAAAATATATTATGCAAATGATATTTTTTTATTATATGAGTATCACTGATAAAGAGTTACATTTGAAATATTACTGATTATTGTTACAAATTCTTTCTTCCATGTCTTATTTTATTAATTTGAATGTTTATTTGATAAAATATACCATTTTTTCATCGAAAGTTTTATAATTTGTATTGTAAAAAAATTTTTAAAATAAATATTCACTTTTATTTTTGATTTCATTTTTTATAAAATTGTATTTTAAACTCAAAGAATGCTAAAAAATATAAATATTATTATTTATATGTTTGAAATGACGTTAATTTTTATGATGAAATTCAAACCTACTCAAGCTTTATTATATTTATAATAACTATTTTTTAAAACAGAAATTTTTTTTCGAGATTTGTTCAATTATTTTGTTGCCTAAATTAATTTCGTTTTTTTTTTTTGTTACATAAATATTTTTATTTTGTTGCATAACAGAAATATGTTTTTATTTTGTTGCATAAATTAATTTCCTGCCTTTTTTTTTTACAAAGTCTTTGTTTAAGTTCTTAGCTTTGAACAACAAATTATATGCTTGAAATTATCTGTGAAAGTATTTTTTTATGATAGTTATTATGCTTTTCTTTTACAGCTTTCTTCAAGCAAAATGGACTATATCAATGTATTTATTGCCAATACTCAAATAAGAATAAAGCGAAATTGAGAATGCATGCCAGAGTTCACACGGGTGAAAAACCCTTCCAGTGTACCAAATGTAACAAGCGCTTTTCACGTAAGGATAGGTTGAAAATGCATATGCTCACCCATTAATACAACACTATTTTGTAATATGCATAATTAGTAAGTATTCTTTAATAAATTATCTCATTTTTCTGTAAATATTTAAACAGAATGAAAACTTTTCTTTTTTGAAACTTTTAATCAAATGACTTCATAAATAAATATTTTATGTAAATAAAAAAAAATTATTTAAATAAAAGTTTATGTAGTATACTCTCTGTATCTAAAAGTTGTAGGGATGCTAAAAAAAGTTTTTGAGTTTTGATAACAAGTTCAGATCTAAACATGTTCTTAAAGGGAGAAAAATATATTCTTAAGTATTAATCTAAAAAAAGTCATGAGATGTAAGAATAATTACTGATAAATATGGATGTAATGATAGTTGACTATAAGTCTTAAGCACAACAATGATAATTTTATTTTTAAAAGTAAGACAAAAATAATTATGCAATTACTAGAAAAGAATTGGTTTACAATAAACTTTGTGATTTTTCCGAAAAAATTTATTTTCTATTTCAAGAAATTTGGCATAACAAGGTTTTGAGAAGAAAATCTTTGACATAGTTATTTGAATTAACATTAGGTGGATATATAATGCCAAGGGAAAAAATATTTTTTGACATAACAAAATTTTCGAGATATCGAAGTTTGAGATATCTAGAGTATACTGTATAAATAAGAGTTTGTATGAATAAAAATGTAAAATCATTTATTGTAATTTTGTGTAATTAAATAGGGCTTTAGAAATTTGCTTTACATGTGACCCATAAATCAAAATAGTCATGCCTCAGAGCAACTCTTATTTTAAGAAAGACAAATATTTATTAATGTCAACATAAATGTTCTCAAATACCTTGAATTTATAGATTTCATACAATGCGTAGTTCATTTATTTCATCTTAAAGGATGTTAAGAAACAGATTAAGAGATCGAAATAAATTTAGAGGTCCTTAAACTTAACTTATTTTCTTTAAATGCTGAATACCTGTTCTTTGTACAGGATGAAAAATTATGCACCAAACTAAAAGGCGTGTACCAACACAATTAAAATAACAAAATTTTTTGTTAAAATTTATCATTTTTTTGCCCTTTCCAGTAGTTTTAATTAAACTAAGCAAGACACATTATTATTAGTCCTTCCCATCAAAATACAGATCTCCTGTATTCAGTAACAATTCTGCTGTTCAAGTGCATAAATTGCCACAATCGAGCAATTTTTTTCCCGTTATTTATCCCTTTTAAGAAGCTGTAAAATACTTTTTTCCATAGTATGTTAAGTAACTTAACAGTATTGGTTTAGTTTTCATAGGTATCAAACATACTAATATAATACTATATTAATGTATTTGGTACCTATAACTGATTACCATATTAACCGATTGTGCCTACTGACAAAATTATTTAAGCATATTTGGCATCAATAATAGTATGGTGAATTTGTATGCTTCTCTTAAACGAATCATTTCTCCATTGCACTGTTTTTTTCCATACATAATTATTCTTTTTTGTTTCAATTAGTACTTATTACCAAATTAAATTAAGCATAATTGGTGCCAGTACATAACAGTATAGCATTTTTTAAGTTTCTCTTAGCAAAACTAACGCCATTTCTACATGCACTGGCATTTCGCTTTTTCAGAATGAATCAATTCTGGAATTACATGAGAGACACGCAAACAGACTCTTCATTTTAAGATCATCAAGTCTTACATAATTTTCTTTTCACGGGGATTACAAAGTTTATTTGAGTTGTAAGCTTTCTGATGTGGTATTAATTGTAACTTCTATGTTAAAATGTTTAATGATAATCATGAAAATGTTTCACCTGTATATGGAAATTATAGGTGTTATAAGGTATTTTTTTTAAACGAGATTTGATGCTAACAAACTTTTTTAAGTCTAGCACTATGTTGAGGTTAGTAGAAACATACTTTCAAGAATACATTTCTCAGTTATTTTTTAGAATTTTGTTAGTTTTGAACAAGATTTTGATCTTGGAATGAAAAGAAATACCTTTTTTAATATTTGATTAAAATGCAACTTAGCAAACACTGTATTTTATTTTCTATTTTCAATTATTAACTACCTAATATTCTAAGTATGATACGGTGAAACCTTTCAGGAGTGACCACTGTCCGTTCTGCAGTAAAATGGTCATTGATGGAGGTTGGTAGTTCTTAGAGGTTACCTCCATTGATTTCAAAATTGTTATCAATTGTAATTGTAATTTTAGTCAGTGTCATATTCTCAGTACTGAAATGCCACTTCTGTTGGCTTCTTGAAAAGGCAGATCTATGAATAAAATTTAACGTCCATAAAAATTATCTTTTCTGATATAATTTTGTGTTAAGCAAATTTATCAATTATAAATAATGAAGCTATTTTAAATAGATAAACAATTCTGTTTCTTGTGCAAGTTTGCATTTAATTTTATATCATAAAAATTAAAGTTTTGTTTGTTTGAGATGATTGTTCTTTCTAAAATAACTTTTTTTTCTAATTTAACTCTCAACTCTAAAAGTAAATCATTGATAGCATCGTCTCTAGTGCACTTTGACTGCAACATGAGATTGTTTCTTCAAATAGAGCTCTCTAAATAAGAGCCACTCACAAATATTTTGAATATATTTTAATCTACTTATTTGACAATTTTCTACATTTGGTGCAGATGTGTGCCTGGTCGCTGGGAGAGGTTTTGATGGTCTCTTCTAAAGGTTTTCTTCAACACAAACTCTATGGAAAAATTTTCGTGTCTCCCGAAAGTGATCATGAACAGAGGTGGTCTTTACTGGAACGTTTCACTGTACTTTATGTGTAATAATTTTTTAAACATGTATGCTTAGTTGTTTTTACTATTTCAGGATGTTGAAAGGGATGTGAAGTACATCAATGTTTAGTTTTCAACTGCTCTGCAATATTGAAGAAATGTTTGATAAGGCACATCCCAACACACATTGGGGAAAAAGCCTTATCAGCGTGATGCTTGTAAAAATTGTTTTAATCAAATGTCATATAGACTGTTGAACATTTACAGAATTTTTACTTTTCACTTTGCTTTATTATTGTTTAAAATGCTCTCTTTTTTTGATTGAATGTGTTGGTTGAAAATTTCGTATTTCTGTGAGTATTCTTTGACTAATGTAAGTTCTTTGTACTATTCTGTAATTTTTTTTTTGTAGTTTAATGTGTTTGTCAATGTTAGTTTTTGTACTCTAAATATTTCTTATCTTGTTTCATGCAAGTACAGGTTCAAATTCCTGAAATTGTATGCTAATTTTTCATAAGATAGGTTATTAATTTGTTGATTAATATGTTAAAAAAAAAGTTAGCTTGTGTTGAGAGATACTAGGGACATAACTGTGCAGTAAAATTATAATATTTTTAAGTTTTGTTGTTAGAATAAAAGTAGACCTTTAAATATTGATTTTAATTTTATTCCCACTATTTTTATTATAACTTAGTGCTGTTTAACTAGTATTCATATCTGTGATTATTTTATTCCTTGGGAAAATAAGTTGGTTTTCTTAAACCTAAACTGATATTTATATCTCTTTCTATTCAAACTGTGCTTTATTTTCAATCAATCTGCTGTTTTAAAATATAGATAAATAAAATACAAATGTTTTTTATGTTTTTGCTCCATGTGTTTAATAAATATAAAAAACTTCTTGTTTAATTCAAAAAAGTGCAGTGTATTAGTTACAGTTTATTGTCTGGCATTTATACAGTTCTGTTCAGTTTTGGTAACATATTGACTTCAACATTAAACACCTTTAATATGCTGTGATTAACTAAATGAAAGTTTTCTTAGTATGTTGCCGGATATTTTTTCAGTGATAATTTTTGACATTAAGAGCATATTATAAAGCTCACCAGTTAAAGCAAAAATATTGTATTTAAATTCATTTTGAATTGTAAGACAAATTGTCCTTTGTTTTTAAATATTTATATCCAAAAACAATACACACGAGGTAAAGATTAAATCTGTTTTTCAAAAAAGAATTTCAATATATTTCTTTGAAATATTTTTAGTGATTATTTTATAAAGTCTTATTGGTATAGAGCAACGTTTAAAAAGTTTTTCTTTTGCTTTTTATGTACTATTTTGAAAGTTGCTTTGATAATATATACCACTCTTTTAAAAGAATTATTAAAGACTTGTACATAAGTAATATTTAAATAAATGTTTTATTACATATATATAGAATTTTGTCATCGTATTATATAGTTGGGATTTGTAAAAAATATTTCTGAAATAAAGAACTTTGAATTTATTTTTTAATTATGTGTAAAATCTTATATTTTACTTAAAGAATGCTGGAAAGCACAGATAGCTTCTTTATATCTTTGAAATTTCATTATTATTGCCAACTGATAAAAACTCAAATTTTTGAACTTATTAAAGAGCAAGTTTCAATTTATTTGATAAAGATTTATTTATTAGAAAGGCCAACATTTCTTAAAATTTGAATTAGTTTATTTGGAAAATTTTTAAAATTCAGTTACCAGTTTAAATCTTCTTAAATGTATAATAACTATTTTAATAAAATCATGTTTAAATTTTAGGATTAATTTTTTCTCAATGCATAAATTAATTCTAAGGTCTTTTTTTATCTTGCTTTTTTTTTTAAAAAAAAAAAAAAGAAACTTATGTTGTATTTTGTTTAAAAAAAATTGTGTGTTTTTATAATTTGTTGGATATTATATTTCGCATGTTTGTTTCAATTATTTTATTTGTATATGTTTTGCTTTTCTTTTATAGCATTCTCCAAGAAAAATGGAATTTATCAGTGTACATTTTGCCAGTATTCTAATAATTTCAAATCAAAGTTGACTTCACACATCAGAGTTCACACGGGTGAAAAACCCTTCCAGTGTATATATTGTCAAAAGCGCTTTTCACATAAGGGTAATTTGAAAAGCCATATGCTCATCCATTCTGACAGAACTGGTTTGCAATGTGCATAAATAGTAAGTAATGTTCAATAACTTATCTCACTTTTTCTGTTTTTGTTTATATTTTCGGTTATTAAATAAGATTTTAGAAATTGTCTTAGCTTTTTAAGACCGATAACATACATAGATTAAAACGTACTTGCCTTTATGCATAAAAAAAACTTACAAAGTAACATGAATATTTCAAACAAAATATTGCATTTATAAATTTTATACAATGCATGGTTCATTTATATCAAATTTGAAGTTGTATTGCAATAGAGGAAAACTTCAAAATTAGTGCAAAGGCTTAAAAATTAATTTCGTTTACTTTCTTTTTTTTATCGCTAATTATCTAGTATACATAATTTTATTTCCTATGGGAATACAAAGTCTATTAGTTTATATATATATCTTTTGATGGATAGAATATTTTTTAAGACTCTATGCTAAGCAATTTTTTTTTTAATTGTAACATTATGTTGAGGTCACTTTATACTTTCTAGAGTTCATTACTGAATGTCTTTTCAGAATTATGCCAATGTTAGAAACTGAATGTAATGGTAGCAGATTTAAAACTAGATTTTGAGTGAAAGAAATTACCACTTTTAATATTGTATAAAAATACATCTTTTGAAACAAAATGTTTTAGTTTTCAATTGTTTAATGTTCTAAATATACTACTATACAGGGCTCGAAAAACCGCCCGTCCTCGGCGGTCAAAAATTCCCCGCGGACGACAAATTTCTCGAATTCAGCGTCCGCGCGGACGGCCATTTTCCCATTAATGTTCGTGATACATTTTCAATTTTTGTTATCTTACAAGAGTCTAGCGCCTCACTTCTAAAATGACCCTCTAATCTCGAAATACAGCAACATACTGCGCATAGTGGAATTGATGTTTTCTCTGTCTGGGAGTACTGCAGCGGTTGAAAGGGGCTTTTCAGCAATGAATTTACAAAAAAACACGTTACTTGCAGGTCTTAAACAAGAAGCGTTAAACGCATTTATGAACATCTACCTAAATGGAAAACCTCTTTCAGATTTCTGTGTAGAAACCTCTGTAAATCATTGGCTTGATTGTGGAACTGGCAAACGTCATACTTGATTCATTTAAAAAATGCAGTACCATCGGATAAATTGACATGATAATTGACAGATAACTTAACCTTTATTATTTAAATTAATTCATCAAAGAAATAAATTATTTCATAATAGAAATAAATTATTTCATAATAGAAATACTAGGTTTTACTATTAGTAACCTAGTATTTCTTTTATTACTGTATAATGTTATCCTAGTATTTGTAATCCTAGTAACTACTAACTCATTGTGCAATTTATATAAATGTTTGTAATAAATAAGAGAAAATTGTATTTGTATTTATTTAGAAGCGACGGGTTAGTTTCAAAGGAGGACGGGTACATTGTTGGACAAGCCGTCCTCGGGGACGGGTGAAATTTCTGAGTTTTTTCGAGCCCTGCTACTATATAAGCAACAATATTTAAGCACATGAGTAAAATACTTAATTGTAGTTTCTATTTCAGAATGGTGCAGGAAATTTGGATATTCGTCATTGTTTATTTGGAAACTACACTATTGAAGACACATTTAACAAGGCACATCTGAACACATATTGGTGAAAAACTCTACTAGTGAGACTTATAAAGAATGTTTTAACCAAAAAAGTGATTTAAACTCTCATACACATTCACGGAAGTGTTTCTTTTGACCTGTTTTAAATTTGTTTAGAAAGTTTTTTTTTTATGAATGTCTCTTTTGAAAGTTTTGTATCTATTTGAACTGGTGTTTTTTAGTAATATATATACAGTTGATGACAGTGGCGTAGTTTTGGGGGACAAAACCCTCCTCAAAATTATACATTACTTAATAAATTAGCTGTTGTACGGTAAGTAGGATGTAGTTTTAAAATTTTTATTACTGATTTTTTTTAATTTAAACATTTGGAAAAAAATACATCTATGACAGAAGGAGATAAATCCCTTCCAAACGTATGTTAAAACCACACCACTGTTTGACGTTTAATACGGCAGCCTTAAGGATTCAAGGGAAAACGGATGCTGTTGTGTCTAGTTATTATATTGTGAGTGTGCAAAAAACCTGGAATATTAACTCAAAGCAAAAGCAATATTTCTCCTTATTTAGGACAATTCTTTAATTTATAAATTTTAATAAGAGTTTAGTAACTAACTGAGAAATTGGTGATAATGCTACTTTTTTTTCTATATCAATATAAATGTTTAAAATTATTCTTAATTGATGCAAAAAGCATTAAAAATAATATTTTGTTACGGGCCTCAATTTTTTATAAATAACATACAGCAAGATAAGTGTGAAGACCACATGTTTTAACTTGAAAATAAACCACACAAAGGAAATTACATTTCATAAAAAGAGTGAATACTATTTTCAAACAAGAAAAGTTGTGATTAATAAATTTACACAGATTATAAATTACCATTAATTGCGACCCTTGTGAACTTAGGATAAAAATGTAGAAGGTCGTGTAAAGAATGATAAAAACTTTGTGTCAATTTAGGTACAGTGTAAAGATGGAAGTCAACTTTATAAGCAGGCTCCTATACACAGTTGTGGTTCAAATTATTAATCAGTTCGCGTTTTTTTAGCTTCAATGTTAAAGGTAAAAATATTATGACTTATTTTTTTCTGAAATGTATAACTACTTATCTTTTATTTTATGTATTGTTGTCCAAGAAAGATACTCAAAAGATAAAGATTAAATCTGTTTGTTTTTCAAAAAATTCTTTGGATGACAGACTAGATACAAATTTCTGCATTTCAAAGTGTTTTAAATAAATGTTCTGTGTGATTTATTTATTTTTATTAAGTATTATTAGTTTATAGCAACATTTCAAATATTGTTTTTTTTTAAATATTTCCCTGTTTTTTTTTTTTTTTTATGCAATATTTTGAAAATTATTTATTATATAAATTAATTTATATATATTTGAAATGCTTTGCCTTCATATAACATTCTTCGAAAAAAAAATTTATGACTTGTATACATCACAAGTTATATTTAAATATGTGTTTTATTAAACGGAAACATAATTTTATTATATTTGCATATAATTGGGATTTATAGAACAATGTTTCGAAATAAAGAATTACTTTGAGTTTCTCATTTAATTTTATGCAAAATTTTATATTACATAAAAAGAATGCTGGAAAATACAGATGTCTTCCTTATACATTTGACGTTTTAGTATATTAACTGACTGATATAAATTCAAAGTTTTGTACTTTTTGGTAAAGCAAGTTTCAACTTTTTTTTTTTTAAATTTTTATGAAAAAGTGCAAGATTTCATAAAATTTAAATTGATCTGTGTGGAAATTTTTAAAACTTTTGTTTGCAGTTAAAACTTAACTTAATGTATGATTACTTTTTTCATAAATCACATATTATTATATTCCAGGATTTATTTTTATGTCTAACACATTTCACTTGTTCGAAATTATCTATAAAAGACTTATTTTACTATTATATATATAGTAGCTTTTCTTTTGCAGCATTCTCTAAGAGAAATGGTGTTTATCGATGCACATTTTGCCAATATTCAAATATTGACAAATCAAAGTTGACCACACACATCAGGGTTCACACTGGTGAAAAACCATTCCAGTGTACATATTGTCAAAAGTGCTTTTCACGCAAGGATAATATGAAAATTCATATGCTCATTCATTCTGGCAAAAAAAATTTCTAATGTGTATAAATAGTAAGTATTGGTTGATCTCATTTTTCTGTAAAACTTTTTATGCATATTTTGTATTATTAAATAGGCTTTTAGAAATTTTCTTATCATAAGACCCATAAAATACATGAATCCCGTAAATTACTAAGCGGTACTGTGTTTTTGAAAGACTACAAATATTTATGTTAGTACATATAATTTGTAATAAGTACTAATATATATGTTAGTAATAAAATGAATTTTTTTAACAAAACCTCACATTAATAAATTTCATGCGATGCATATCTCATTTATATCATCTTAAATTATATATTTTGCTATAGGTTTAGACACCAAAATAAATGTAAGGGACCTTAAAGCTTAACTTTTTTACTCTAATTGATTTTGTTAATAATCATCTAGGTATACATAATTTTATTTTCACAGAATATACAAAATTTAATAGTGTCGTAGGTAGTCTTTGTGATGAATTTAGTATAAATATGTAAATAAAAAAATAAATATTTTTAACAAAAACTGGCATTAATAAATTTCATGCAATGCATATTTCATTTATATCATCTTTAATTATATATTTTGCAATAGACTAAGACACCAAATTAAATGTTAAGGACCTTAAAGTTTTACTTTTTTTACTGTAATTGCTTTTGTTAATGATCATCTAGGTATACATAATTTTCACAGAATGTACGAAATTTAATAGTGTTGTAGATAGTCTTTGTGATGTATTTTGTTTAAAATCTGTAAGCTTCATGTTAAAAAGTTTTTTGATAATTATAAAAAATTTTCAACTGTATATGGAAATTATAGGCATTATACATGGAATTATTTTTTTAACTAAACTTGATGCTAGGAATCGTTTTTAAGTTTAACATTATGTTGAGACCACTTTTGCTGGTTTTTAAAACCGGAATTTTCTCTTGGATTTAAGAAAAATGCCATTTTTAATATTTAATAAAAAGCATCTTAGCAAACTGCATGTTTCATTTTAATTATTTATTATGTACCTAATATTCTAAGGGTAATACTTCATATGTAGCACTTTTTTAAGCATATGTGTAAATGCTTTATTAAATTTTCTATTTACTATTTCAGAATAACACAGAAAAAATGAAATAAATCAATTTTTTGCAACTACTCAACAATATTGAAGGCACCTTTACAAGGCACATCAGAACACATAGTTATGAAAAACCAATGAGACACTTGTAAAAAAATGTTTTAGTTAAAAGTACCATTTAGACTGGCATACCATTACAGAATTACAAAATTGTTTCTTTTTAACCTGCTTTATTATTGTTTAAACTGAACTTTTCTTTCCCTCGTTCAATGTGTATTTAAAAAATTTCATATCTCTTTGACATATATATTGATATTTATATCTCTTTGAGATATATATATATATCAGTGTTTTCATTGCAGAAAAAAAAAATGGGTGAGAATTTCTCCCCCTTTCTCAAAAACAGGGTGAGATTTCAAAAAATTAAGTGAGATTTCTAAAAATTAAAAAAAAAAAAAAAACAAAAAAAAAACTCACAACGAGATTTGAAAAAAAAATCACTTCTTTAATTATAATAAATTTTTAACATCTTCTAATTTTTAAAGCATTGAATATTTTTGTTGCATCATCATATGGAAAATGTTCTACATCTACTTTTTCATCAGCTATTCTCATTAGGTTGCTCAAATGCTTATTTGTTTCGTTTTGATCGTTTCTACTCACATTTGTTTCATTTGTCCGTTTCGGAGTAGAAGATATTTCCTTAACAAGGTGCAAAAAATGTGAACGTCTTACATGAAGAAACCTTTTCTACGGTAAACACGTGGTTGCAGAGAAATGCGTTCTGAAAGAGGTTCCATGGTTCGGAGGGATGGTGTTCTGTTGCTCTTAAAGGTTCTGAACAATACTGGTAAATAGGGAGGCTAGATAACGGGGCAGATGTTGAATATAATGAAAGATACAGGAAGAAAAGTGAAACAGATTTTATTCTGAATGGTGCAATGAGAAATTTTTTTCAAAATGCGAGAAATTCGAGAATTTTGAAGTTGGTTTATAGAATGCGAGAATTTCTCGTGGTAATAATTTTTTAATGCGAGAAAAGAAAAAAAATATGCGAGATCCTCGCACTGTAGTGAAAACACTGATATATATAATATGTCAGAGGTAAGAAAACATCTCCATTTGTTTCTTAAATTGAGTAGATACCATGTCTTTGTTATAAATTTTTCACAAATATGTCGGACACGTATATTGACCTCAACCCATATCCTATTACTTTTCTATTCCTTCAATATTTTATTTAATGCCAGCTCCTGTTGATAGTGAGGAAAAGTAAAAAATATCAGAGGATATATCCACAACTGATCAATAGTTTCAGAGCATAAAACTCTTAAATAATATTGGCAAATATAAACCAAAAAGTAAAATTATAAATTTGCAAACAATAGTAACTATTAAGAGGGATACTGTTGAAATTGTATCTACAACAAAAAAACAAGTAAAAATTACAAAATGTATCTCAATAGTGTTAATCTTTGAAAATATGCTCATTTTCTACCACAATTTTATGCTTCTTGCGTTTTTCAACGCTAGTCTGACTGAAATCGTAAAATCTGTTCTCCACTGTGTATATATATATATATATATATATTTGAACAGGTCCATACGTNCTATATATATACATATATATATATATATATATATAACATAATATATTCTAAATGTATTTGGTATTGTTGTATTCATAAAGTTGCATATGTATATTTTATGAATTAGTTTATTGATTTGTAGATTAATATGTGGATTGTTAAGAAAAGTTGAGTCAGAGATAATTGTAATATTAATGTGCAGTAACTAATAATTTTTTAGATTCAAACTTTTTTTTAAATATGTAAAAGAATTATAATCTGAGTTGCTGGAAAATGTCATTCCACTAATTTTGTTCTAATTATTACTTGGTGCTATTTAACTTGTAGGTATGTAATATTTTATTTTATTTTTTTCGGTTTGCTATGTTGAAAAATTAGATAAATGAAATATAATTGCATACTTATGTTGTTTCTGCTCTTACATGTTTAATAAATCTATAAGAAATAATTTTTTTTTTCAAAACAGTGCAATGTTGAATATAACTAACATTTTATTATCAGGCATTTATTTTCTACCCAGTTTTGGTAACCTCAGCTACTTTTGATACCTGTCTTTTACTACACAAAAGTATTCTTAGTATAGGTATTAGTATTTTTCAATGATAATTTTTTACATAACGAATTGGCAATTGGGGGAAATTATAAAAAACGCAAGTCACTTTAATTACAATGTAAAGATGGAAGTCAGTTTATAAGTTTGGTCCTGTACAAAGGCCAGCTTTAAATTATCTATCTATTTGTGGTTTTTGAGTTTGGATGTTAAATATAAAAATATGATTTATTTCTTTTTTGAAATGTGAAACTACTTATTCTTTGTTTTTGTGTATTGATGACCAAAAAAGATACATATTAGATTAAATCTGATTGTTTTTCAAGAAATTCTTTGATGACAGACTATTTATACAAATTTCTGCATCTGAAAGTACTTTCAATAAATGTTTCTTTGAAATATCTTTTGTGATTTATTTATTTTATGAAGTCTTATTGATATAGAGCAACATTTCAAACATTGTTTAAAATTTTTTCCCATGCTTTTCTTTCAACATTTTGACAAAATTCTTTGATAATATATACCATTCTTTTGCAGACACTTTTATTCATAACAGGTTATATTTAAATAGTTTTATTATATGTATATATATAGAGAGAGAGAATTTTAATTATAATTGGAATTTTTAGGAAAATGCTTTGAAATAAACATTTTAATTTCTCATTTCATTTTATATAAAGTTTTATATTAAAATCAAAGAATATTGTAAAATATGAACAATTTCTTTATAAATTTGAAATTATGTTATTTTTATTAACTGATAAAAGATTCAAATTTTTGTACTTGCCGGTAGGGAAGTTTCCATTAACTTATTTGATTAAAATGATGAAATTTTCTGAAAGTTTATTTATTCATTTTTACCAAAAGCTTCTATTAAATTATTGGCTTTTTTGTGTTGCTCAATATATTTTATTGATTGGAAATAATCTGCAAAAAATTATTTTTCATACTATGCTTTTCTCTTATAGCATTCTTCAAGAAAAATGGACTATATCATTGTAATCATTGCCAATACTCTAATATTAATAAAGCAAAATTGAGAATGCATGCCAGAGTTCACACTGGTGAAAAACCCTTCCAGTGTACCTATTGTAACAAGCGCTTTTCTCGTAAGGATAATTTGAAAATGCATATGCTCATCCACTATAACAACACTATTTTGTAATATGCGTAAGTACCTAGTAAGTATTAGTTAATAATTTATCCCATTTTCCCATAAAACTGCCTTATTTAAGAGCCATTCTGTATAAAAAAAGATTTATAATATGTTTTTAAACTATTGCATTTTCAACAAAACTTTGCACTTACAATGCCTAATTCATGGATGTCATGTTAAAAGATGTTTCAAATGGACTCCAAAATAAATTAGGAAAAACTTAAATTTCTATTTTTTGTTTTAATTGTCTTTAAAATTAATTATCTATTAATATATTATTTGATTTTCTCTGATCATACAAAGCTTAATAGTCTGGTATTCTTTGTGATGTATTTATTTTAAAACATGTTCATTCCACATGAAAAGGTTTTTATTAAAATCATGAAAATGTTTCACCTGAACACGGAATAAAAGGCATTACATAGATTTTTTTTTTTAAATAATATTTGATGTTTTGCGAATTTTTTTTAAGTGTTGCTCTACATTGATGTCACTAGATACATAAGTGCATTTCTGAGTTCTTTTTTTTTTCTTTCTTTTTTTGAATCATGCTCTTCAAAACTAAATTTGTTCTCGGGGAAAAAATTATCATTTTTAATATTTAAAGAAAAAAAATCTGAACAAACGTGTTTTATTTATTAATTTTTAATATTCTAAGTATAGTTTACTTATGCATAATTTTTTTCTATGTTAACCTATAAGTAAAAAACTTAATTGCCGTTTCTGTTTATTGTTTCAGAATGGCTAAAGGAATATGAAATACATCATTTTTTAATATACACAGCTCCTCTACATAATGAAAATATGTTTAACAAGATACATCAAAACACTTATTGGTGAAGAACATTACCAATGTGACACTTGTAAAAGATGTTTTATTGCTTATTTACAGAAAGGTTACTTTTCACCTGTGTATGAATATTATTTAATTATTTTTTTTATAAATGTGTATTTTTTGTGATAGCTTTATCACTTTATATATATGAATGGAATTATGCATTAAAAAATGCAAACCAACTTTACTTTATTTATAAAAGTATTATTTTGTGGATAAAAATTCCTAATGTTTTATTCTGATCTTCATAAAATAGTTAATTAATTTATTGACTCATAGGATAAAAATTCCTAGTGTTTTATTCGGATTTTCATAAAATAGTTAATTAATTTATTGACTTGTGGGATAAAAATTCCTAGTGTTTTATTCTGATTTTCATAAAATGGTTAATTAATTTAGTGACTCATGGGATAAAAATTCCTAATGTTTTATTCTGATTTTCATAAAATAATTAATTAATTTATTGACTCATGGGATCTATTCCTAGTGTTTTATTCTGATTTTCATAAAACAGTTAATTAATTTATTGACTAATTTGAGAACAGTTTATTGTATCAAATTCAGTTGAGAAATACAGTGGACATTTATATCCAGTAACCTAATTAAATTTTTATATTCCAATCTTTTTTTTCCTATAAAGAATTTTTTTTTCTAAGAAAAAAAATAATAGTCTAAGGTTATTAGAAAAAAGCCAAACCTTAAGATACTGTTTTAATTTAGTTCCAAGTATTTTTTCTTCTGATTTATAATGTAGCATGGTTTAATTTATAATTATATATATAATATTTATTCCTTACAGAAATAATTAGGTTTTCTTAAATCTGAATTGATATTTATATCTATTTCATTCAAAACTGTTTTTGTTTTTTTTTATTCTATCTTCCACATTGAAAATGTTAAATAAATTATTCCATATAATAAATGTGAAATATATATTACAGTCGACTCGTGTTATAACGACCCTGTGATAGAACGACCAACATGATGTAACGACCCTGTGAAGGAGTACCAATTCACATCCATAAAAGATAACGTTATTTTACTCTTGCTATAACGACCGTAAAAAAGGTCAACTCCTAATATAACGACCCTCTCTGAATTTGAACACCGCTCTTTTCTAACTTCCTATTGGAAAGTGGGGTCGAATGGATGACCTTGAACAAGCACACCTCTGTTCCAGCACACCACAAATTCTTAATTGTTAACAGTTGTAATTCAATTGTTAAAATGTCATTATGTTTTATTAATGTATGTGTCCCATCCTTTTTTGGCTTATAACATGTATACCACAAATAGTCTAAGCATGCATTATGACGTTTAAAACCATTATGTGACCGATTTTCAAAGGAAATTTGCTCATTTTGATATAGCGACCATTTGATATAACAACCAGATTGGGAC